ACGTAAAATATAAACTACGATTTTTGTACAAAAAAAGAAAATTTTTCCTTGAAGTTCTTTACAAATTATTGCAGCTGGTAATAATTATAAAGAAGCATATACATTTATATTGTTATGAATCTTATTAATATTTTGCCGTATCACTCATATCAGAGTGATACAATATATGAATTTCCGTAAACGTTCCGTCCCATTTTTAGAGCACATCAGTTTTATTTATCCAATTAAAAATAATTTTATTAAGTATACTTAGAACAATTAAAGAAACAATTTGAATTATATTACGTTAAAAATATGAATTATATGTTGAAAAAACAATAATAATCAATAGATTTATTAAGTACAATGTCGAAATCAGCTTGGCCATCAAAATGTTAATATAATTATTATAAAATCGTGTCCAATATTCTGAAATAATGATTGGAAAAATTTCAGGAATAATAATACAGCAAGTATCGTACATGACGTCTTTGCATTCTCGAGTCATGATGTGATTTAAACCACAAAGTTTCGCCACGCACAGCTTATACGTCTCTCAATAACAACGGATTTAACTTAAATTGACGAACAACTCTGGCAAATCACAAGGACTCGATAGTAAATATTATTTCATTCGCGAATACGTTAACAAGGCGTGATGAATAGGCAAAAGAGGGAGCCGATAATCGCGCCTCGGTATAAGGACTTCTACAGCATGTTCGTTTTAAATTAGGACAGATTCATAAACTGAAACAAACGCCGCTGACTATCATTTACGCCCACGTACCTATCGCCGTGGAGTGACGTGTGGAGAAAGAAAGCGTGATAATCTAAAATTTCTCCGGAAAGAATTTGTTTTTATTGTTAACGAGAGAACGCGCGAAGAAATATCCGGGGCGACATTTCCATAGCGACTAAAATCGGAACTGCACTTTTTGGCACACCCCGTAAATCTATAAAGCATTCCGTGCAACTACGCGTCAGCGAGATCGATAAATTAAATGGAGCTCGAGGTCCGTAGGGTTTCACGACTTATCAGGTTAGAATAAGGCTCCGACGACGTTCTATTCGCGGAATATACTCGCCTATTTTCGTCAAGAACGTCTTTCTTGTTGATGCGCTACGTCATGGCATATTGACAGTTTGTTCAAAAATCACGTTCGAGAAAAGCACGTAAATGTGAAGGAGACATGACAAATTTCTGAAATATGAGATTACGAAAGAAGAAATACGAGACATAAATATACAAAAAGAGATGTATTGCTTTATCACGAGCCGGAAAAGATATAAATTCTTTTATCATTTAAAAACGTTGAATAACAAATTTAAAGATAGCCCCGGCCGTACATACAAAGCATCCTCAATTTATTACATTTCCTTGGAAAAAGCGGCAGTGAAAGCCAAAAGAGAAATAATAAAATGTTCAAACTGTTATAAAAATAAATATATTTCAATAAAGCTGTTGAATTTATTTTTCGTTAGATGCAGACCGCTTTATACCTCGATTTGCGGAATTTACTTTATATTTATGGCTAAGGCTATATGTACATATAGCCTAACGAATTGAATATATTTTAATAAAAACGTTAATTTCATCTGTTGCGCTGAAACATTTTCCAAATTCCAAATTGTAATCCCGTTAGCGGTTCGATATTACATTTTATTGCGCTATGCAATTTCTAACGTATACATTATATCACATTTTAATACGTATACCTATTTCGATATATTATTACACTCTCATCGCACGTGAATCATACAACTACAAGTGCCGTTAATCCGCACCGAGGAGATTTACTGATGGGCCATCGAAGGATTATATCACGCGAAAACGTTTATTTTAATCGCGTACGTATGCAAATTGCGAACTCTCGCTATACGTCGAGCGCCTCGCCGTTAACTCTCCTATCCAGACACCGGCTTCTACTTTTACGTAATTAAAAGCAAATTCATCGCGAATAAGAGATTTCATCAGTTTTTCTTTTTCATTCAGCGTTCGTGCGCGCGCGCGACATTCATTCTCGGAACGCGGCGACGAGCGTAATGACGTCATTGTTAAATAATTATTCCCCAGCAGGGATCGCCTTTTCTCCGCGATGAAATGACGAGAGATATTATGGAGAGAAGTCCGCGGTCCCGGTAAAAGGGTGAAGGCTGAAATAGACGATCGATTTTCCTGAATGCGGAATGGAATTCATTGAGATACGCAACTCTCTCTCTCTCTCTCTCTCTCTCTCTCTCTCGCGTCGCCGGGGGGTGCAGATCGTAGGAGGAGAGAACGATAGAGAGAGCTCCGGTGAACTCTATCAATCGGACTATCAAAGTCGCTGCTGCAGTCGTCCCGACGCGTCTCGCCCGCGCGCGTTACAACGGAAGGAAATTACCGATACGATATGTAATCGTATAACGGCCGCCACGCGCTACCGCGAGAGAAGGCTCCTCGTCACCTTGGGAATCGGGCCCGGTCTCTGACGCGAGGGAAGGAGGAAACGCGTCCGAGGTCTTCTTCCCCGTCTTCTAATCCCAAACATGACAGCGTACCATTGTGTGTATATATACATGTATATACGAGATGTGTACACGAGATATACGTGCGTTTACACAGTTAATATGTGCCCTCGTGCTCCGTAAATAGTAAATTCCCGCGCGGATTTGGCCAGCAATTTATATAGAGTCAACCGCGAAGCTACAATATTTTTTTTATCTTAATCTTCTCTCAAACAATTATTCATTTAAATAATACGATTGAAGAAACGCGCGTGAAAGAGCGGCCAAAGGAACGGTGAATAAATTTTCTTGTATATGAGCGGTTTTTTTTATCTTTTACGAACGGTGAGTTACAGAACAGCTAAATCCATTTGTCGCGTATGAGAACTTTACCACGTTTTTCCCTTATGTTTCATCGTGTTTTTTTATTATTACACGCTATTAACACGCAACCTAAATAAAAGCTGTAAGCTATGTCCTCGGTTTAATTAATTTAACCAAACCTAATCTGTATGGAATTAATTCTGACGCTCTTGTAAAGTTCAAGGCACCGCCGAAGGGCGCTTCCACATCCCCCTCGAACGGATTTTTATAGATCATTTCCCCAGGAACAATTTCAAACAAATCATGCGTAATCGAACTCAAATTAAAAGTCAGACGGAGGAAGAGGAGTGAAGGTTTCATCATCTTAATTTCGTTCGTCCACTTGCTTCAATAATGCGGCGATAATTATGCAAACAGCTCGAGCAAATGTGAAGAAGTCGATATTTTGTTTTATACACACGCAGAGGACACACTCCGAGGACGTTATCGTTGCTCCGAAGATAAAACGCGGAAAAGACCGTTCCTTCAACGTTATTTTGCTATAAGTACGTATTTTGACGATGTGGACACAATACTGATTATCTCCAAATAAAAAAAAGACACTCGAGCTGAACCGCTTTCGCAACCGCGGGTCCGACTCGATGGCGGGGCCATCGTTCCTCGGATTATACGAGAGTGACATTTCCATATATACGATCGCGCGAATCTTGCATAAAAGCGGTCGTGCACTGGAATTTATGTCCTTTTAGACCGGACCGAAATTCTACAGTCGCGAATTCTCGCTTACGAATGTCCGATAAACTAGAACGGCTCGTAAATAAATCGACGACTCGGTTCCTCTCCGTCTCTCGGGCGTTCCGCACCTCTCAAAACATTTTTCTACATTTCTACATTTCTGCCTCCCTTCTTTTTCTTCTACAAAAAGGAATGTACGTTTCGTTCCGTGTTTATATTAAAATAAAAAAAGGAAATAGAGGTACTCGCGTAGAGAAGAGGAAATGCTCGTTCGCGCGAGCTTCGGCGTTAATGCGGGCGTAACATCGAGACCTCTTACAAATAATAATTGGCGTTTTTGCGTATACGCCTGACGCGCAATTAATCCGTTCCGAGTATCGGAAATAGCATGTTGGTGATCGCGCGCGAGGGTCGAAGCGAGGAGAGGCCTCCAGAAATCGAACATGCGTGGAGCGTGGTCTGTCCCTTTTTCCGCACATCGCGCTCTCCAACCTTCCCACGCGATTTTCCTTTTTTTCCCCTCCCCTCTTTATCGAACACGTCCTGCGAACGTGCACGCGCTTCGTCTTTCGAGCGCGGAGCGAGAAGCAGTGGAAAGAGATACGGCATGAAAAATCTGAAAAGGACCCAAACACAATAGATTCAATCCTTCCCTCCCGGAGGATATCGCGATTACTATCATTATACCCAGCTCTCTCCAGGAGCTCCATTGTCGACTGTCAGGTAAGCATTCCTGACCACGCCGCGTTTAGCGGAGACGCTATACATCTCGCAGAAATGTGAGAAACGTGTATAGCGAAAAGCGCGAAATGGAAATCCTATATACAGACGCGAGCACGCGCTTTCGACGTTCCCAATCGACTCCGACTGCTTTAATTGCCACGTCGATGTATCGATATATACGTGTAAAGGGGAGAATTGAAACCGACGACGTCGTTTCGCAGTCGGTTTCGTTCAACCGTGTGCCTGTCCGAGACATATTGCTCAACGCACCGGGGGATTCGCGCGAGTAGACCAGTGGGGGGCACAAGTCGCACTCGCTCACCTTCCTTCGAGAAGGCAGGCAAATAGGATAGGAAAAGGTGAGCGACTCGCCGTCGTCGCTCCCTGCATGCGCTGGTATTATTCCGCGCGTGTACCCTCGCGCTGGTGAATCAACGGCAAAACGGCCGGGCACGAAGTCGCCACTCGAAATCGGAGTGGAGTAGGCGACACCCTGTCGCTTTTGCGCGAGACGCGTCGAAACGTCCACTTTTTCTCATCGGTTTTGCTCGCGTTTCCTCCCCCCCCCCCGGTCCCCTCTACCCCCTATAAATTTCCTCCTCAAACTTAAAAATCTGAGACTTCGAGATACCGAGGGAGGAGAAAAGGAGGACGTTGTCCTAACGATAAAACTGACGAGACGGGCGAGCGCCGGCGAAGGAGCGACGCTCGACGGCAAACATATCGCGGGAACTTTCACTCTCTTTACTTACAGTCAAGATGCTTCTTCTTGGGTCCGATCATCTCCTCCGTGGTGGCCTTGCAGACGGACTTGGCGAGGCCCTGGCCGGCGATGCTGTGCCTCGCGGCCAGCAGCCTGTCGTTGATCGTCTGTCCCGCCATACTGTCGCGCTGTCACGCAAGGTGGTGTAGCCAGCAGCTAGTTGACGTCTGCGGCGAAGTCGCGCGTGTCCTCCCCTCGGCTCGGATCCCTCCCGACACGACCGTGTCTCTCTTCGCACCCTTGTGTGAGCGACCACCGAGCGACGCGAAGGAGACCGCGCGAGACCGACGTTTACGATGTTACACGAGGACGAAAACGAGGACGACGTCGACGACGGTGACGCGAGGGATCCCGGACGCGGCCACGCGAGAAGAAGCGAGCGAGGTCGGCCGTCCTTGGCGCGACGCGGACGGACGGACGGGAGCGAGACTACACGGGGTTCGGGCCAACTTCACCGCGCACGTACACACGATCACGATCACGATCAGGGGCACACGACACGACACGACACGACACGTCACGGCACGGCACGGCACGAACACGAACGGCGAACACGACAGCCGAGACCAGACCAGGCGCTAGCCGCGCGAGGCGTCCGCGACGTCCCGCTCACCCCGATATTATACTTGGCCCGCCGCGCGCTGCTTTTCCGGTCCTCCGGCACCTCTCCTCCTTTTCACGTCCTCCTCCTGCTCCTCCGCCGCCGCCTCCTCCTCCGCCTCTCCTCGTCCGCCGCCTCCGCCTCCTCGGCCGGTTTCCGCGTTCGCGTCGCGCGAACGATAGCCCGCCGCGTTTTCTCTCCGCGTTCACCCAGCAGCCGAGCCAAGGTAGCTCGCGCTCAGCTTTAACGGCTCAGCTGGACGGCGTACGTCGGCGGCTGACGGCGACAGCAGGCCTCCTTCTATCTGCCAAGATGGCGACCGCGCTCAGGCCTCAGTGCCGACAGTCGTGCCGACTGCGGCTGCGCGCCGCGCCGGCGCGGCCAGCCAATCGCGAGCCGCCGCCGCCGCCGCCGGCGCTCGGCGGCTCGTGTGACGTCATCGCGCCGCTTGGCGAAATCGAGAAATTCGAAGAGCAAATCGAAACGAAAGCGACGCGAGATCGCCCGAATTGACGACGGTTCTCGATTAATGAACCGCACGAATGCCTTGCCCGTTGCCGGAGGAATGTTTCGACGCGGAGAATGAAATTTTTAAGTGTCTTACGAGCAAAAGTGGCAACGCGATCTCCTTATAGCCCTCCGACGCGACGCTCGACCATCGATTGAAAATACGCTGTGAAGTGGCGCTCGTCGCGAGCACGGCTGCCAATGCATACGCGAGTTGCAGTGCTGTAAAAGTTCGCGATCAAATTAACTATATTTCGAAATTGGAAATTATCTCGAATCCATGCACGTGTACAAAATAACTGAACGGAGCGTAAAATATATCTTTTCTAAAAATCTCTTCAGATCAGGCGAGTGAAAGGGAGCGAACTTTAAGAAATGAGGGAAAAAATTAATTACATGCCATCTTGATCATCATATATCTTTTTTTTTCAATTCCGCAGTAATATGCTTCGTCCAAGTATTTCATGCGTCAATGAACTACATGAAATTTATACACACAACAGATCTAAAGTCCCAGATAATCGGAGAGGCGGGTAGATTAGATCGCTGCAAACATTTTAATTCCGATATAGGTATTATCAATAAGAAGATCTGATTGGCTGTCTAAGCGATCACAGTGCCATTTTGTTTCCTATAAAGGCGCGTTCAGCAGACAGATCCGATTGTGTATCTTTGAAACAACGTGAAAATTAGAAAAATGAGCAAATTCATTAAATATTGGCCAATAAAATTAAAAATATTCTAGTGAATTTGCTCATTTTTTTAATTTTCACCCTATTCCAAGTGTACAATAATTGAGGGCCAGTGACGCCGCTCAGTGCTTGTTTGTTACGATTGATTTCACTGATTTCACTGCCATCTAGCGGAGAGCACACTAAACACTTGCTGATCTGCTTTATCTGCCGAACGCTCAATGATATTCGGCGCGTTCGGGGAGCACGCTGTCAACGGCTATCGCGGCATTCCATCCTTGTCTTATATCCGGAGTAAACAAACAAGGTTAAGTTCTAAAGTTTTGCTCGAATTCGTAGCTCTAGCGTCTATCCTTGTTCGTTTACTCCCCGTCTCGCTCGAGCGTGACCAAGGGAGAGGTGGTGGTATTTTCGCTCTCGCGAGATTTTTGGACTGCGCTCGCTTTGGCGTTCTTGCAGCATCATTTCACCCTTGTTGTTTAGCAATTGTTAAACAAGGACAAACGATGCTTACAAGCGCTGGAAGTATCTGTAAGCGCCAAACCGAACGCGGCCGTCGCAGCCTTGGGTCACAGCTAGACCTACAGTAAGTATACACATACATATAAGTTTGAAAAGAAAGTCGAGTTAGAGGACACCTTTCCACATCTTTATACATATCACAAAAATCCTCAATATAATTTTAAATAAGTAACAACTGCGCACGTTTTTAGGCGAAGTTGGCAAAATGCTGTTTTTCTTATTTTATTGTGTAATTTCCGTCCATGGATTTGGTTTCCAAGAAGCTCTGAATACCAGTCAGTGTATGATAGCATGCAGAGATAAAGATGTAAGTTAATTGAAACTTTATTCGATATAATATATATGCCATACGAAACGTAATTCTATGTATTGCATGTCTCGATTATTCGCCATAAATTTATTTGCATGTGTTAACGTCGTAATCTGTCTCTAAAAGTTAAAATGTATGCTACAATGATATGTATCAATTAAGATAAAAATGCTAATGTGAAAATTATAATCAGGAGACTCGTGAGCAGGATCAAATGAGTGAAATACTGAGAGATCCTATTTCTTAAACTCATTTTTTAAATGTATATGTACTTAAATTTTAAATGATGTTCTTGTATGTCTTCTGTTTCTTTGTAGAATATATATGTTTTTTTTTTATAAAGGAAAGGAAAGGACAAAAAGAAGTCACCGACAAATGTAATAATGTTATACACGATTGTGCTCGATTTTGGCTGCAAAACGATACTCGATCACGATACCTATCCATTTTTACGAACATTTAAATCATTTCTTTAAAAGGGAAAGGGGAATTTCTTTTAACGCGCGCGCGACTTTAAAAGTTGCAACAATTTCGATGTATTCAAATAAATAGCGATTTGTGCTTAATATTTTCAAAAATTCTCATTAAACTTAACTTTAAGTTTAAATTAAAATAGATCAGAAATATATACTTACAGTTAGTTATATCAAAAGAGAAGAGTAAAGCGATAGACGCTAAACTGCACAATGCATCGTGTTGTTGTAAATAGTTGTTTTATCACTTTTTTCACAATTTTCTTTACACTTATGAAAAACGTCATGCTTGCGAACTAAATTAATTACGAAAACTTTTAACGGACATCCTCCAACGGGTTTCTTTTCTACATTTTAGCGATAAATGTTATTTAATTGATTATAGAAATTAGTGGTTGGTAATAGAAATTGTTACGATACAAGTCGAAGTTATCATTGTGACATTAACGCGAGAAATCATTTGAACGACGTTATTTTTACACGCGTATCAGGCGCGCGTTTCTTCTCGTATATACATACGTAAAATATTCATGCAGTCTGATTTTGACTAAATATTTTCTAGTACTGAAAAAAATCTCAAATTGTTACGTCGCTGCTTATCGTGTATAATTATTTCCAACTATTTACAAGATGCTTTATTAATTTTTCGTACGTGTTTCACAGGATTGGTGCCTTGAGGATTGTACGCAACCCACGGGCCAGTTCGAGCGTAAGTAATTAAAACTGTACAAGATTGTAAATCAATTTCGTTTGGATACTATTGTATATTAAAATTGTTTCTTATTATAGTTGATCAGACAGTAGAAAGGGAAGCTGATGCGAATGTCACTTTACATTGCAGAGGAACGCATTCGCTAGTAATTAAATACAATCCTGCAAGTTATGTTATAGAATTACAGAGCATACCCGATCACACTTGGAGTAAAGCCACAGTGGTAAGTGCTTTCTACTTTTAATCAATTCGTCAGGCCGTTAGATACCCTTGATTGCAATTTAAACTTTACAAGCTTTACTCAATATGGCCAAAAGGAAGGCCAAAAAAAGTCGAAAATGTGCAATGATTTTTTAAATTAGAAATGTCAAATATATCAAATCTAACTCGAAAGAGCTCGAGTAAGACAACCGATGCAATGGCGTTTGTATTAATTCGTTTTATTCACGTTTACGTTCGCACTTTTCACGCAAAAATCAAAGAAATGTTATTCAAAGAGAACTTGATTCACGTTATTGTTGTCAGTCTATAGAGAAATTTGTACGATCAAGTCTTTTCGATTACGAAGCGTTTATGTGCTTTTGCTTTTCTTTACAAGATAGATTTCTTTTGTAGAGCGATGGCGAATTTACGATGTTTAAATACTTGAAGGCAGACACAGTTTATCGTTTTCGTTTATATATGTTAACACAGACAGGCTTTACATCACCTGAAATATCAAATTGGTTCTTAACTTACGCAGGTATTAATCTCCGAATCGAAATTTTTTAACACACAATGGGCACAACAAATCTTTTACATTGTCTCGTAATTCAATTGCATATGTATAATAGATGCTGTATATTCGAGATATTAATAAACTTGTCTTACAATTTCCTCTTCAAGAATCAATTAAGATTATCTAATATTTGCAGTTGATTACCAACCAAAAGCGATTAAACACATTTCAGTTGCAAAATTTGAAAAGCAAATTAACGATGTAAACAAACTACAAGCGGAAATTATGTTTCAACCTGCTCAGGGTAATTCACGCACACATAATACGGAACATATTTTAAAAATTTCTAGTTGTGTCATTATACATATACAGTATTGGATCATTATATTTTTTAGATCAGAATTGTCATTATCAGATAATTTTTTCGGCAGTTGGGGGGCCTTTATTATCAAAATTTTATTTAATATTTAAGGTAAGAGAAAAGGAGAAAGAATGTACGGTAGCATAAATTTATTAATTAATTTTATCAAGTTATCAATATATTATTCAGCTATACTATCATTCAGTTATTATATTTATATGTATTTTATCAGTCTTCAGATTTCCGCTTTCCTCTCAGAAATTTAGACTACAATCAGAGTTATGTTGTATATATTCAATCGTTTAATCATAACTATGCTAAAGTCAGTGACCCACCGACGTTTATTTTTTTCACACCATCATCGTGCCTAGAAATTTATCACTCTTTAAGAATCTGCGGTAAATCATTAAAATAATCTCAAAGAAGAATAAATTCATTTTGAATTTTATCGAGTATGAGTTTTTTCTTCGTCAAAGTCAATTGATTTAAGTATAATAAATATCTCTCGATTCTTATCCTAGCACCTGAAAAGGTAACAGGTTTCCGGACGAAGAGCATTCTAAAGCGAAGTGAAATATCTCATGACATTGCAGTTAAATGGAATAAACCCATTCTACAACCGGACAATTACACGTTACAGTTTAAGGCCTCTGTAGTTAAACCGCATTTACTAGTTGTACCCGGAGTTAGTATTATCACAGAGTGATGATTTTTTTTTAATTATAACAAAAAACTGTAAGTTAGACATTTTTGTTGTTTTTTTTTTTTTTTTTTTATAGGATGCAGTCGAAGCTCTCTTCTTAAACATCCAGAATATAAAGTCATATGAGATCACTATTGTAGCAAAATCAAGGGGCGGTGTAAGTTTACAATCGAGTGTATCCAGAATTATCGATGAAATACCAAAAATGTATACATTTTAACCACTACATTAGGCATGTCAACGACATGTGTATATCTAGACGAAGCTCGACCTTTGGCATAAAGATAATATGAGCGATGATCATTTTATACTTTCACAATACATCAATCTAAATGATTCCAAATTTAACATGTACAATATATAATTTTATAACAGAGAATTAAATTACACACTATTAAATTTGTAGTGTCAAATTTAACTTTATTTAAGTCGCCACTGCTCCTATTTAATAAATAGTTATTTTTAACTAAAACAATAAAGTTAAATAATTTAAAACGGTTCAAATTTAACCTAAATTTAGATTAAATTCCATTGTTTTATATAAAAAATAACTATTGTTTGAGTTAAAAATAACTATATATATATGTATATTAAGTAGGAGCAGTTGCGATTTAAATAGAGTCAAATTTGGCACTATAGATTTAACAGTACACTACTTATATTATGAAAAAGAATAATAAATCTTAATCAGTTATTAAATATAGTGTACGTTATTTACTTGGCTATGCTCCATAAAAAACGACATCCTTTGAGTAATCCTGAACATTGTTCCGATACTGTATATATGAGTTTATGGGTTTCTAGATTTATGACCACTTAAGGCTTGTCTCTGCTTAATATGAAACATCTAAACAATCAAATGTACAAATGATCAAATTTTTTATATTTTACATTATACTAACCGCAGATAAACCTTTAACGTTTAACTATCAAATTCGATGGATATATGGAAATACTTGAAACGTGATCGATGATCGGTGACTGTAGAGCCTGAGGTAACGCGCCGGATTTGACGAATGCAAAATTTCTATAAGTGATTTATTAAATCGCAATGCGATCTAACACCGAAAAAAATCGCATCGTGTGCTTTTTAAAAAGTTCACGACGGTACAGCGAGATGCGTGCAAAAAAATAAATTCGCCCATGAGTAAAATTAATTTTTTGTTGTTAAGAAGATTGTTGAAAAGAAGATTAATGATTAGGGCTGCGAATTATATAGCTAAAAATGTTGCTTTATGCGACTCTATTGAATTAATTGAATTATTGATTCGGTTAAATTAATCGCCGTGATTTTATTGTCGCGCATCGTCGTGATCTTATATTTAAGATTCTATTATAAATACAGTCTTGAAATATTACAGCATCATTTTCATCATCGTACACGCAGGAGTCTTCGCACGGGTTCTTCGTACGAGATCATTTTATTCATCCCTGGAACGTGACTGGAGCGGCAAATCAAATTCGACCGCGCGGTGCCTGGCGGCGGCGGCGTCGCGTCGCGACTCGGAGAGCGCGGCGCGGTTCAGTCCGGTTCAGTGCGGCGAAGTTGGCCGATAAGTGCGGTTCGTGCGCTGACGAGAGACCGGGGGACGACTCCAGTGACCTGCAGTCAACGCGGCCCAGAACAGAAGCGCGTAGAATCGTCGCGCGTGAAGTTCACATCGCATTCCCCCTGCGTGAATCCCGGGCCGGACCCCGGGCCTACCAAGATTCTGCGACACACGCTTGGCGTGATCCGGAGGAGGATGACGACGGCGGTCGACAAGGAGGAGGCGCGGAAGCGGCTGACGCCGCTGCAGTGGCATGTGACGCAGGAAAAAGGCACGGAGAGGTGAGGGCCATCGCACGGAGAGAGACGCACGTGCGAAACTCGAGTCGTGACTGACACACCGGCGTACGTCCTCGATAACGCTCCTCCCCCACGTGCTCGCTCACGGCGACGTTGACGATGCGACAACGACGGTAACGTCGACGAGATGGTGTCGGACGGTCTATTTTTTCGCGGTCAGCAGGAAGTTAATTCGAGCGACCTCGCACTAGTTCTCGATTGCGGCTAGGCCATGGTTGTAGGTCGTTACAAGGAGCAGAGTATTTTCCGGAAACGGTGTATTTCCTCGACGATGCCCACTCCTCGGAGGAGATCCCTCGCGCACCAGTCCGCTCGAAACGGAGCCCTACTCTTCCGCTTATAACCGCGACCTGCTTCCCGTCTATTGCGCCTCGGTCTTGCCCCGCGCGCGACGTCAGCTGATTCTGTAATAGACGATCAAAGCGCGCAACGTGGAGTTGCGCAACGGCGATAACGACGACGGGCACGGTCGAATTATGCTAATTATATTGATGACACAGATGGATGTTATTTCGTCGTCTGCTCCATATTTACGCAGGCCCGCTCCGCTTGCGATTCCCGAGCAAGCCGAACTCTGAAGCTTTTGCTGATGAAATACATCAAAATAATACCAACATGTATACACGTATCGGTACACACGTTCGTCTGCGGTAGAATTTCACGCGTGTGAAAATTAATAGCTTGACGTTAACTAAGATAATACATGTATATTGTTTGTCTCTCACGTGGCGCAGTTTTCGCAGTCGTGAGATCGCAACCGTGACATAATTCGCCGCGACCGTGTCACGAATTGAATTAAAGGTGAAAACGCCAAGTCACAACGTTCCCGCGCGCGTTTTGAGCGGAGTCCAATCGCGGATGAACGGAACACCGAAATAACTCTTTCAAGAGCGGCTTTGTATGCCCGCGTGAAACGATCTCACGGCCAACAGGTTTAAAAATAAGCTGTATATGTATGTCACGGCGGTTTGCGCCGCCCCTCCCGCTTTTCCACCCTCCCCTGACATCGTCGCCGATTCACCATCCCCTGACTAATTCCTATACGACGCTTTATTTGGTCGCAGGCCGTTTACCGGTTGCTACAACAAGTTCTACGAGAGGGGGACGTACACCTGCGTCGTGTGCGATCAGGAACTGTTCTCCTCGGACACGAAGTACGACAGCGGATGCGGCTGGCCGGCGTTCAACGAGGTTCTAGATCAGGGCCGCGTTAAATTGACCAAAGACACCTCTCACGGTAAGCGATCGCCGTCGTTTTAGCGTTATCTCTTAATGCAATTATATGCTCGCGTTCTTTAGTTAGAATGCCATTCACACCTCATTGTCTTAACGCTAAACCACGTGTTGCACAATAGTGCGCGGGTACACTTGAAAACTATATAGGGCTTGTTAGATGTAACTGTATCTCTCGTAAATAAGTCTCTCCGTTTCGAAACCGTTGTACCTGCTTACTATATTTACAACACCGTAATCGCAACATGTATCATAATCGTATACACTTGCATAACATTTTACTGAACCTATCCTGGTCACATTTCACTCTTCACTTTCTCTGCACCTATATCCAAAGTATACAAGTCTCATTATATTATATATATTTCAATTTCTCACAAGATTCAATTTTCCATGAAATTATTACGATTTCGTAGCAAAGATCATAATTACATTTTCACTCTCGTTCCTTGCGCCTCATTTACGAATGTATAGAAATTTTCTTGTATACATATCTATTTAAAAGAAATTTTCTCTTATAAGAAAAGACAGGACCTGTATAATATCCGTTTGTAATTTTTTTTTCTATTGTAAATATAATGTGTATATTAGATGAAAGTTCCTGTTCTCCTCGGTTCCCGCATGCACTTGCTTAGAGTGTGATTGTGTTAGACTTACATCACTTTTTTTTTGTATTAAACTAATACGCTAGCCGTACATTGTGAAACATTGGAAATATGACCAATAGGATAGAGAAAAAGTGTCTGCGACGTGTTTAGTGCTGCGTTCATGAGCGTAAAGTTATTGATAATTGCTCGAGAAACGTAACATTCATTCTTGTAGTTTTGGCTAAGAGTAATGCCTTCTCTTTAGTCGCATATCCTTAATGCATATAGATATCACTTTTTACAAGCGTATCTCTTCGATGCAAATAAAGTTCCTTCGCTTTTACATTGCTATTATAATTACGCCGGTTGAGATAATATTTAATCATTTGCAAGTGTGTTTCAATACTCACAGCTAAACTTAGAATATTTCTATGACATAAGTAAACACTTGATAAAGATGAATATGCGATATAAATTTTCAATTTAAAAAAAACCTATAAATTTATTGATTACAAATTATATTATTTATATTATTTATAAATTAATTCTAAATTTAAAAAAATATGTTAGTTACAAATGCAACGTATAGAACATAATATGATTGCGTAACTTTCAATATTGCCGAGTAAGCGTACAATTGAATTGGAAGCGTATAATATAATGATTAACGGACAAAAGTCAGATGTACAGTCAGATGACAAAAATGTATATATTGAACAAAACCGCTTCATAAATGTACGCACTTCTCCATCGTTATTTCTTTTAGTATCATATATGAATGTTAGCTGTCTCTTCTCACGGTCGATCAATCTTTAGTTCGATTTTCTCCTCAATCCTGAGATTTTCTTTTAGATCGCTTCTGTTACTTCTTGAAAATCATATATCTCGCGTGAAAAGGGTGTCGGTCTGCGTCTAATCACACTCTATTGTTCTTTCTCCTCTCGCCCTCCTTGATCCCCTGGCTACTACCACCACTGAAAAAAACCACTCTTCACTCTCATCACTGAAAAAAAAAAAAAAACAACACCGCCGAAAATCGCGCGTCGTCGCGTCGAATTAAACGACGCCAACTATAGTCGGCGGCAATCTACTACTGCTGATCGCAAACCCAGATATGGTGCGGACCGAGGTGACCTGTTCCAAGTGCGACGCGCACCTGGGCCACGTGTTCAACGACGGGCCGAAGCCTACGAGGAAGCGGTTCTGCATCAATTCCGCCTCCATAAGCTTCCATTCGGCGGGAGAGGAGAAGTCTACGTAAAACCAGCTTGCGCGCGCGCGCTCATTGCATTCTGTCTAATATTTATATACCGAGAGTTGTAACACCCTCGTGCTATAAATATTGAAACACCACCGTCTTTATTTATTTTGTGTTGTGTAAAAAAGAAATAAAGTAATTCTCGTCAAGATACCAAATAGGCTGTTTGTAAATGTGAGTTTTATAGAAAATATTTAAAATAACGTTTTATCACTTCTGACAATGTGCTAATTAAAACTAACGTTTCTACGTCATTTAATGCATTCGATTGATTGTAACGTTTAATTGTACATTTATCCTTCGTAATGTATTCGCAAATACTCCTTTGTACGTCGAAGCTTCGAGTTCGCAAGTTAAGAAACCGTACTGTTGACGTGAATATAGAGCGTTTCCGACCGACTTTTCACTTGCGACGAGAAGCTAACTCCATGCTATCAGTTCTCTTGAATCTCATTGTAATACCGTCTACTCTTTCGACATTACACAAATGTACATATCCGTATCAGAGTTTAACAAAGTGTAACACCCACGCGGAATGTATATGTACGCCGCATGAGAAAGCGTGATACTGAACAGGTGATAGAGATTGTCTAACCGAGAGATGTTATTTTTCCAATAAATCGCCATAATGTGTAAATATCACCTATTCTAATTTAATATAATAAAATGCGATAGCCGTCAATTCTCGTTCCTCTTACCTCAAGACAGGGTAGGGCGTTTTGTATGAAGAAGAGAACGTGTTTGTTATAAAATGTTTCCTTATATTGTAACGTTTCAAAACAAACTGAAAGGTGTTATAATACAATATATACGCAAAATTCTAGGCGTTATTTTTTTACAATTCATTAATCCTTTTCTGTATTTTTTTTTTGCATTCCCTCGCCTTTGAAATTTTCATCGTCGTAAAAATTTCACGTATTACATTTCTTCCTGAGAGACCAGATTTCTGTCGAATGGCTTCCGATATAGCGATAAATGCTCCTTTTTTTTCTTACAAAAGTTAAAGTCGGATGAGCCTGCCCCTACGTCGAGAGGAGGGCTCGAAATCGAAGATTTCCCCTTTTTTTAATCTCTGCAGTAAAATAGCGACTTTATTACTATAGGCCTACTTTTCTTCCTTTCGCTCGGAGATCACAAAGCATTTTCAAAAACATCGTAAAATGCTATCGTAAACAGCAATAAAAACATGCATACCACACATTTAACATGATTCGCGTATTAGGAACCTATTTTTAAGAACCTAAAAAAAATGATAAAATACACACGGCGCACGTATAGCGGATAATTAAATGCAATTGGAACGATCGTATCGAAATATACGGATGCGCAAAACGGATGCAAAGTTGCCCGCATTTTTTTTCGCGTTAACGTTAAAAGATTTCGCCTGCCCGTATGTTTTTTTTTTGTCTCAACTTTTCGTACATTTTCTATACGTTTTGCGATTCGTCAATGTCAAAAAATAACGAGTACTTTCGTGGTGCATCACTTATTATTATTACGATAAGGCATGTCTGGTACAATTTTTGTACTTTTGTTCACGCGCGATAGAAGGGTCATCCGAGTACCGTTATCAGCTCATACCGTGTCTACATGCTAAAATGCGCTTTCAATTGTGCGTCCGGAATAATAATTTCTCTCGTGCGGGCAGTTTTGCATCTCGCGCGCGCGCACAAATAAAAAAAAAATTAGACATTAATAGCTGCTAATAGCTGTACCAGTAATAGCTGTTAAAATAACTGCCGCGAGTAACAGTAAACGAAAGAGACGTGGCTCTCTATCCGCTCCGAGATATTTGTGAAAATGCAGGACCCCGCGTCTTTTTTTTTAGTGTTTCTGATCGTCAACTTTAACCCTGGATCGCACCATTATCTTTTTGTTTGTTTTTTTTCTTAACACACTCATACCTTTCTTTTGTTAATACTAAGACGTGCGCACGTTACTTTGTCTCTTAAATTGTCACGGTCCGACCGACTTTTAAGAGACGGACGCGCCGAAGCGGAGATTAATGCCGAGCAATGTTCGCAATGCACGATCCGCGGAATACTGGAAGGGGGCACGAATTTAATAATTGGTATACTCTATTTCATAGTCCCTGATTCTTTTAAAGATACGTCGCATTAAGTTCTCTCCGGTATACCAGCCTCCTAAATTCGGTCGTAAGCGTCGAATACGAACTGAGCTGCTTCTCCCTCCCCTAACTCGATCAAAGTACACACAGTCAGACATTATAAAAATCTAATCAGGCTTCTTTCAAAAGATGATGCTACACAAAAAAAAAGGAGAAGAAAACAATAAAAACTCGTCGGATATTGAATATATGCCTTATCATACGATTTCTCGTTATCAAATAATATACGGGTTCCCTTCTTCTTTTCTTCTTCTTCTTGTTTCGCACGCAATATAAGTGTGTATCGTTAATTTCTCGATTTATAACTATCATATTTATATTCTCACAAGGTTTGAGTTAATATTAATTTATATATGAGTCCTATACATATATGTATAACGAAAAATCCTCATCGACCGAGCTCAGTCATCCACCGCGCGAAAAGTGGAAGTCGGGGGTGCGTGCGTCTCGCGAACTCTCGGAAGAAGGAGAAAGAGAATAACGTCGAAATTATTATTTATCCGGAATAAAACGCGAATATTCGTCTAGATGTTTCTTTTTCGCGATCTCGACGTATCTCTTTTTCCTGCCATTCGCGAACAGCTCTCTCTTTTTCTCTCACAGTTTTAACATCCTGAATTCTTACATTTAAGATAGAAAGCGCAGCCTAATACATAGCCTGTGCACAGATCTTGGAACGCACGGAACAAATTTTTTATCGTGATGAAAAATAAAAATCGAAAACAAATTCCAAGTACATGACTAACTAAATAATCATGATACTTCAGTGGAGAAAAGCCAATTTGCAATTATTTCGTGGCCGAAGATAACTTAAGTCAAACTGTTTTATGATTTCTATTGACGTTATAATAAAATTTATATATTCTGCTAATTGGCTTGTATTAGCTTGTTTTTTCTATCTTTCACTTTGATCGAAGAATTATCACTCTTTTCATATTTTTATTTTTCCTTTTACTTTTAGTTTCGCGCCGTGGATGTTCTGGTCGAATAATGGATACGACGTACGAAAATGAAAAAAATAAAATAAAAATGAAAAACAAGATACGAAAATCTACACAAGTCATGATATCGCCTAAAGTTAACTAAATACTTCCGATATATTCACTTTCCGATGACACAATGACAGTCGGATGACGTATAATACAACATTAGGAAAGACGTATTTCGATAATAATGTTCGATGCAAATACAACCATACGTACGGAACCACAATTCGTTCTACACAAAACCATCAATTAAACTCCGTTATACGCGTGTCCGATTATTTTTGTTTCTTCCTCCTCGCAGACTCTCACAGTGCTAAAACGAAATATCGTTATACAGTGGTTCATAAGAAAATCTAGCGCGAGTTTTCTTTTTTTTTTCTTCACGTCTCTAAACGACAAGACAGGCACTTTATAGTGTCAAAATGCTCCTACGTCTGAACCTTGTTTTACAGTTGATCATTGATCTTCCCTTTCTCCCCCCTCCCCCTTCTTGCAAGACACGTTAAAGACAGTTACGTTGGACTTACAGCGAAGAACACACGTGATGCGGAGGACAAGAGTTGTCCTCGGAGACATGTTCCTATTAACTAAGTAGTAAACCATGGTAGTAAGTTCAATGTCTTAACGTGTCTTTTTTCCTCTCTCTCTCTCTCTCTCTCTCTCCCTTTTCTTAATTCTCTTTAATGATACGCAAATGAGGGAAAGTACTCATCTCTTCGTCGTAAAGCTCTAAATTAGCGGCCTCAAACGAGATATGCATTTCTTACGCGATCGGCTAGAGCACGTGTGAATCAATTTTCTTTACATTGAAATACGTCAACATAAAAAAAATCGCGATATTTGTAAACAAGAAATTTGCTAAAACAGTTCCTCTTCTCAGTACAAGAAAACTGAGCCAACAATGAATCGGATATTCAGCGATCAGAATTCTGCGACTCTTAAAAAGTTTAAAAATTACAAATTAGGCTACACCGCTTACACATGTATCGTCGCACTAATCAGACGAAAACACACTGAAAACATATTGCTCTTGCTTCATCGTAACTTCCGTCGAAAAATACAAGTCCGACACGAAGACCAATCTCCTTTCTCTCTGTCTCTCTCTCTCCTCTACGATCTTCTCGTTAAACAATAATAATATATTAGAATAGGTCCTATGCATACTTGTTCACATTTCTTTGTGGTATTATCTAATAAGGTTCTCGCTATAAATAATATGCGTTTTTTTTTTGCTAACTCCAATCCTTCGAATTTTCTTCCTCCTTTTTTAGAGTTAGTAATACTAGTTTTTATATTTTTAGAAAATAACTGACAATCACTTGTGTTTCCTCGATAACAGTCCATCCGAAATTACGGCAAGAGCACGTCACAGGCAACAGCAAGATACGGTAAAGCACATATGTGTTTTTCCATTTTCTCTTCCCTCGTCTATTTTCTTCAAAAAAAAAACTAAGTTAAGACTTCGTATGAGTCCGTTGCGCCCAATCGTAAACCGTGGACTTTATCGAGGAAAACAAGGTCTCTGTCGTCAGATTGCTCATAGCTCTTTCTGATTTAACTTTGTGTTCGCGCTCGCGACGTGCGAGAAATCGAGCATTTCATTTTTTTTAAAACTTTGCAACCATTTTTTCGATACTCCATCACGGTATCGAGAATAAGTTCTATCTATCTATCTATCTATCTAACTATATTATTTATATGCGTACGTAATGGATATATGCATGCGTATGTGTATATATGTACATACGACATGTCGCATATAATATAATATTCACATACGATATACACATATGTATGCATACATATATATATATATATATATATATATATATATATGTTTATATTCATTATTTAATATATATATATATATTATTGAATTATTGTGCCGTTTCCGTTTTGGGAGGGTGATTCATTATTTCCTTCTTTTTTGCCGCATACTCTTGGAGTCACGTTTTTACGAATCTACATCTAAGCGCCACTGCCTCTTAATGACCTTTGGCAGCTTCCTTCGCCGCCATTATCAAAGGTGTTAACGAAGCCAGTGGCCTGGCTAATTTCAGAAAAGGGTGCTGCAATCCAATTTAAACATTTCCGGTTAAATTAATTCGAATGAGAGAAGTACGCGCGTATATGACGCGAACGCATTAACGATAATTCTCTTTACCTTTAATAACTCGGAAGCCGCGGACCGTTTCTCCACCTCGACTTCTAAACACTGGTCCAGGAAGTCTTGGAATATGCTCGACAGCTTGTCCTTCTCCTTGATCTCCGGCTTGCCGTTCGTCGCGATCAAGTACAACGCTCTCAGCGGATTCTCGTTCAAATACGGCGGCTCCCCTTCGATCATCTCGATTGCCATTATTCCCAACGACCATATGTCAACCTGCGAGGTACGTTGTTACAATTAATCATGTAATACGTATTCATCATTTTTATTTAATAACAGTCGATATGCGTATCTACCTTAGGTCCGTATTGCTTTCGCGTTACCACTTCCGGCGCCATCCAGTACGGCGTGCCGACCATCGTCGTCCGTTTGCTCTGCTCCGGCGAGATTTGCGCGCAAAAGCCAAAGTCCGTCAACTTCACCCCGCCGTCGAGACCCAACAGAATATTGTCGGACTTGATGTCCCTATGTATAACCTGATTGCAGTGAAGGAACTCGAGCGCCTGCAGCACTTCCCTACACACCGCGGCAATCTGACCCTCGTCCATGCAAGTCTCAGTCACGACGTCCGTTAAACTGCCACCTGGCAAATACTCCATGACCACCCACAGTTCCTCGCCGACTAAATAACTGTCCAAGTAATTTACAACGTTCGGATGCTTGTTCTCCCGCATCACCAGGATCTCGTTTATTATAAGCTCTTTCTTTGGCTGCTGCGACAGATTCATTTGTTTTATTGCAACCTCCATGCCAGTGGACGTTTCTATTGCCGTGTACACCGTCCCCGAGGCACTGCGGAAGATCGTTAATTAGCACGGATTTTTAGATATTCTATGTGAAAAAATCGTTTATCGACCGTTGCCCATCTTACCCTTGTCCTATCTTTTCCATCTTCGTGTATTTCCTATTAGGATCTCCCACGCTCACGATCGTTCTAAGCTTCTCCAATATCTCGTCGTCCGACATCTTCTTCTTTCTGGCCTTATCACCCTGCGCCGGTCGCGTCTGATCGGTCGTTGTTGACGTCGGCGTTGCTTGATTCTTATTTCTATCCAATTGCGACTGGTGCTGTTGCTGCTGCTGCTGCTGCTGCTGCATGCCATTTCGTTGTGGCGAGCCCAGCGTGGTCGTCAGGGGTGGCGGTGGTTCCTCTTCTATGGGCTTTGTGTACTGTGCAGTGAAAGTGAAAAACGATAGTTGGTAAAATGTCACGGATAGCGGAGTAATCAAACGAGCATTTCTTTAATCACGTTTAGGCGCGCGAGAGAAACTTACGATCGATTTCGTGCGTTCCGGTCGGGCGGAGATCGGCGGAGGCGGCGGCTCGTCCTCCTGCTCCGAGCTGGTCGCACACGCGTCCGTCGGCGTGCTGCTCGGGCTACTGCTGCTCACCCTGTAACGTTGCCGTTTCTCAGAAAACATTTAGGCAATCGCGAGGCAGGGGTAACGCGTAAAAGTGTAAAAGACTCACCTGCTTAACGAATGCTGGGAGTGAGAGCTGCCGGATGCCTGCGACATCGCCTGGCCGCGAATGTTTCCCATACCCGTGCTGATACTCATTCCCATGCTTCGCGGACTACTCGCCCTCTCGATCGGAGCTGAAAAAAATATTGTCGCATTGATCGTTAATTGCGATAATTTTATTTAAATTAAAGTATTTCTCTCTCTAAACGAACTAATGTCAGTGCTTACCAACAACTCCAACCATTTTAGTTGTGGTCATGTACTTAGAGCCTTTTGCTTCCTTACTGCTATTATCGTACCAATTCAGCACGTCCAGTACGGCTTGCGGGTTCTTCTTCTGCTCCTGCTTGCTAATATTGCTGGACATAAGTAATCTCGCCCACGCCTCCGGCATACCCTAAGAAACAAGCGTGTACCGTTAAACGACGATTATCATGTTTACCACGAAACAAAAAGATAATAAGTAATTCGAGTCTGACTAGTATAACGCTCTAATTTATGTAAATCTAAAGTATCTAATAATCCTAGATTTGATTTTCGTATGTACATGCAACTATCGTGTGTACAAAAACAAGGATCAAGAAACATTTCTGTGTCACGTCGTTTGTAGAACGACGTACTAAAAAATTTTCAATCATGACACAATCAAATCTACATTTATTTAATCACATAAGAAATTAATTCAGAATCTCTTGCGAGTTTATGTCTTTTTTGTATAAAAAGAAACTTAGAGTATTTTGAACTTTGATATTAGCTCTTTTAATGTGTGTACGTGTGTGAGAAGGCTATTTCAAATTTTAAAGATTTAATCAAGTCACTATTTAATTTTCTAAAATTACTATCCGAATGTACATACATGCACAGTGTGTTTGGAACTTTAAGTTAAAATAATTTGTAAACAGAATTTGCAAAGTTTATGTAAATTCCCATCCACTGTCGAAAATCATTCTGTAAGAAAGAAACGAATATTTTGTTGTATGCAACGTCGACTAAAGCTTTATATCAATCTACAAAAGCAACTTGGTATATCGACAAAATAAAAAAAAACTCGATGTACTCAATAATAATATGGGAAATAAACGTCTAAAATCTTGTGAAAACCGCAACGGAAAGAAAGTGTCGAAATCACGTGGTGTAAAATGCACACAGGCAAACTAATTTCATATTAATTTACTTACTTTCAGTGGCAGCTTGGAAAGAAATACGTGTCTCGTTAGTTTAATCATGTGGAAATAATAAGGTATAAGAAGCGTCGGACAAATTACCAAAGTACCGTTCTCGAAATGTTCGATATGTGAAACCAGTGTCTCATGTAATTTCATCTCGAATCAGGCACGGAGGATCCATGTGACACGTATATATTCACACGAGAGAATGCAGAACAATTACAATGTATATTTGTATAATACGGAAAGTAACGCCGATAATAATCTACGGTAATATAAATCTTGTTTTCTTTTCCCTCCACATCGTCTCTCCCATAGATGATCCGCACCGTGATACGACAGCGAAGCATTAAGCGAGTGCACTTTGAATAATAGGTGTCAGAGAGGCGATTGTGCAGATCGCGAGTCAAGGGGGAAGGGGGCAGGGCGAACCTACCGTGAATTCACCGGTCACAGCATCGAAACCGACGTGCACGGTGTGCTCGAAGTTCGTGGGATAGCTGATGTTGGGCTTGTCCTTGTTCTCCTTCACCTTCATCTTGCTCTTCAGAGTCTTCTTCTTGCGCTCATCGGAATCGGGCTCCTTAGGCAGTGGACGCATGTCCACCGGTAGATTAGGCGTTGATTCCCCCCTGAAAATGCAAATGGTATTATTAGCAGATTAAAATGGCAGTCGTGAAGTAATTATTATCCAGTTATATTATTATTCTGTCAAATCTTTGCAAATCGACCATTACTACATATCATATCCTTGCTTCAAAAGTGACACAACTAAAAAAAAAAAAATTAAGTCCCAGACTCTTCATTGACAGGATAATGTTTATCTAACTCATTCATGATCATATTTCAAAAATCATGCTTCTGTGAGTTGTGTCACTTTTGAAGTAAGAGTGCGATATGCTTATAGATTATATATGAGTTTTCAACATTGTATTAAAAATAACATCTTAATACACAAATGAGTATTATAAGGACTAAGAATACTTCCGCTGTCATAAGCATCACGAAGTGCACGTAAATTTGACTATATGCAGATACATATTTAGATGTCCTGACAGCAAGCAGTCACTCAAATCTGTTAGGGACAACGCCAGGATTACGTCTAGACATCTTTAATGATGGTCTCCCACAACAGAAAGCCACTGAGAGGTATTATTTTTAGCAGCCCATAGCTTAATGCCTCTCTATTTTTGGAGAATACAGACTTTTATGTATACAGCAGAAAATTATGGCAATTTGTATTATTACTCAACCACTCAATTATGTACTGACGAAAGTTATTACTGTTCCAATTATGTGTGACATTCTTACATGACAAACGTTATAAAATATTAAATGCAATAATTTTGACATATAAACTACGTTATGAAATCGAATGCTATTTTACTGTAATTGTAAAACATGAATTCTATAAATCTATAAATATGTAAGTAAATTCAATAATATTTAATTCCTGCAGAAATTATAGCTCAGATCGGTACTCTGCGGCACTCCGATTCTCTCTCTTGACAGATCAATCAGCGATGTCAGATCACACTGGACAGATAACAACACGTACCTGTTAGACGTCAATCGAACAGGGGGTGCGGGGGGTTTGTCTTCCTCATCTGACATGTTGTATCCGCTTCTGGTCCTTTGTTGCCAGTCTATCCTCCGTTGCTGCGTCTCTATGCCTTTAATCGAACCCGCGTTTTCGTTAACGCGTGTGCACGTCTATATATATATACTCGTATGCAATCGTGCCTCGTTTCCCTCGCGACTTTCACTTTCCGGCACCGCGGATACCTTCTCGTTGAAGGGGTCTCCTCTTCGGCCCGTCGTCGACGACGATGACGACGACGACGACGACGACGTCGCTGCCCAAGTCGCGGTAGCAGCTACGCGAGATTTCCCACAGAAGGCACACCCGGCAGGTAGAGGAGTCGCAGGTGGAGGTCCCCTCACCGCGCCGCGAGGGCACCCTTCATCACAGAACACCGGGTACCGGCTGCGGAACCCGCACGGGACGAGTCATGGCGATCGGAGCATTCGGAGCCGAGGATCGGTGCGAATGCTCGCGGCGGCCGCCTCGTGGGTGTCGCTCTCCTCGATCGGCGCTCCGAGAGACGACGCCGTTGGTCTGGATAGCTGACTGACTGGCCCGCCGTTCTCCCTCGCGCTCAATCAGAGTGGCTGCTGCTGCTGCCGCCGCCGCCGCTGCTGCTGCTGCTGCTGCTGCCTGGTGCTGCTGCTGCTGGCTCTGCTCTGGTCCGTCCAGTAGTGGCGTCCGGCGGCGACACGACACACACACACGGGTCAATGTCGCGGCGAGCACGGGGCGCACTCGAGGACGACGGACGGCGAGCGAAGAGAGAGAAAGAGAGAGAGAGTGAGAGCGTTTCTGAAGCGTGATTCACGCACGGGTGCAGACACCCCGCCGCATCCGCGGATCTTTTCGCCTCCCTCTCCCTCGCGCTCGCTTTCTCCTTCCTTCTCTCTCACTTTCCTCCGGCCACCTAGCTTCCTCTCTCGCTCGCTCGCTCGCTCTCGCGCGTGCGCCCTTTCTCTCGCTCTCCTTCCTCCCCCTCCGTCCCCCGTCGCCACTTGCTCCGCTATGCTCCCGCGAGCATCGCGGCGACGGCGACGACGACGACGACTCCTATCGTCCTATCGCGGCCTCGCTTCCGTACTCCGCGTAACACACAGCGAAAGGGCGCGACGACGGCGAGCAGGACACGCGGTGACGAGTGCAGGCGGATCTGAAATATGCCGTTATCTCTCTCCAGGATAATTCTAAATGTTAAAAAAAATGTTTTTTTTTTAAATTTAGAACGAGAATCGGACTAACGCTGCTTAACTCGCACGCCTGCAGTGATCCCTCTATCTTCTTTTTTATAATTATTTTTTTCACTCCAGTCCTTTCGCAGTTTCTTTCCCCTACTTTCCTCCCTTTCCTTCGTTTACTTCCTCCCTTTCCTTCGTTTACTTCCTCCCGACGTCAAGCTTGGGGTTTCTCGCGATTTGACTCGGAGGACAGGGGGGGGGGAGAGAGAAAACGTTACGGCTCCCTTTTGCCGTACCTCTCCCTTCGCGTGCGTCCGGCGAACGACATCGCGTGTGTATCGCATGCGTGTGTATTCACGGGACATGCACACGGCACGCAATTAATCAACGTAGAGACGCATCCTCATCGCAATCGCGCGATTCTCATTATCGAACGAGGAACGGATTGGAACGGATTCGACGACGTTAACGGAATGAAAAAACGGAAGCAGATCGGATATCTTTGCCTCGCCTCGCAATTTCTCGTTCTGCGCGCTCTCCTCGATGAAATTGATAAAAAGCTCTGAATTACTCTGAAAAGCTCTCCGCGATTCGCCGCCATTTGTCGCTACCTCCGTCATCGCATGTCGCCAGCACTTTGTCCACGGGAGTGCACGAAAGTGCAGCCTAAAACTCGATCCACATGAAAACTCGCGATGAAATTAGTCCTGAAATCACGCATACATACAGGTGTAGTAGGCCTTAAGAAATCGAAAGAAATTGACCAATCGTAAATAATTCGTAATCGATTACGCTCTTCACATTCAACTGCCATTTTTTACGGCTTAAGGCTTACAATACCTATTGTTACCGATGAAATATTATTAAAGACTGACATCCTTCAGCGAGGTTTACATAGAGACGTAGACGTAAAAAATTGGGAAGATATGATTGGATATGGAAAAATAGGAATGGCGAGTAACCTCTCTCGTGATTGGCTGGACGTGGGAAAATATTAAAATTTTCATATTCTACATCCTACGTCTACATGTCTACGTCTCTGTGTAAATTGCACTTTAAGCCGATTCTACATTACTTGCAAGCCGATCGCAAGCTTGTTGCGACAGCCAATCCGAAGCATTGATTTCAAAATGCAAGCTTCAGATTGGCTGTCGCAACAAGCTTGCAATCGGCTTGCAACTAATGTAGAACCGGCTTTACGGGAATTAGCTGGTCTAGTAATTAGCTAAAATTTAAACAATTAGTCGATAATATAATATTAATTTAATGATTTATTGTTAGATTAATGTTTTTGTAGACATCTACATACATTGTAAGTCATCTGTATTATAACTTATTGCTAATAATTAATTTTATTTAAAACTGCATTTTTATAGTTATACCATATTTTATGCTGGCTGCTTATTGGTCCAGCAATCTTATGTTATGCTTATGTTTTATTATGCATTTCATGTGCTCCCGGCCTCGAAGGCCTTAGGCCGGGAGCACATGAAATGCATAATAAAACATAAGCATAACATAAGATTGCTGGACCAATAAGCAGCCAGCATAAAATATGGTATAACTATAAAAATGCAGTTTTGTCATTCGATTGCGATTGGTCCATTTCTTACAGCTTAAAGCTTACTACTTTTATTGCATTTTGGGACTTAGGAATTAAGAATAAAAATACGGAATCTTTTGCCAATAGGAGACTTTATCTATTATGGTTTTTAGAGTTAGCGACATTTATTATTTCTAGGGAGACAATTTCATCTATTGGATATCGCATCGTCGTATATACGTCGAATGTCACATTCTTCGCAAGCAGTGTGAATCCTGCGTAAGCTCGATCAACTGCAAAGCAGGCTTAATGCTTCACGCGCCTGCGCTCTTCCCATCACACCTTCTCTCTCTCTCTCTCTCTTTCCTCCCCTGGCTTTCTCCCTCGCGTGGTTCGTGCTCGGCGTAAATTTTCGTGGGTCCCTCGGAGGAGATGTGTCGGACGGCGATTTTGTGCGTATCGTTCGCGCGAGCCCGGTGTCCTTGAACGTCTCGCGTGTCGCATCGCCGTTGTCGCGCGGATAATCGTCGCGAGTTTCGCGCTAGCTCGCGAACGTCCGATAAATACTTTTTCGCGCGTGCCGGCTTTCGTTCGAGAAAGAGAAAGAGAGACAGGAACGAAGAAAGAGGGAGGGAGAGAGAGAGAGAGCGCGCGAGTGGCGCGACGGGCTCCTCCATGTAACCCGCCGTAACCACGTGCTTGAAAATCCTGTCGGCCGTTACGGCCGGATCGGCTCGCGCGGTGAGTTTGCTCCCCCGTTCTCGCGGAAACGCGCCGGACCGGGCGCGCTCGACGCAACCGCCCGGGGCTCTCGTTCCTCCACGTCGCCGAGGAACGGATCGTTCCGCCGTTACCGTCGTCGGAAATAATACGCAATCGTTTCCAGAGCGCGCGGCAAGGCGTCGAGAATATTCTGCGACCCGAACGAGAGGCATGCCCGGAATGACGGAGTTCGTGGACGGCTGGTTCCTGGGTCACACCCTGGGCGAGGGTGCCTACGGCGAGTACGTTTCCCCCCCGAGCTCTCCCCCCCTTTCGTCCTTTTGTTAAGCCTAGCGACAGTCTATTCGCGCGTCCCTCGGCCAGATACTCGGCCGTGGCTTTCGAAGATCCATTGTTCCCATTGTTCGGGGACACGCACGACCCGCGTGTTCAGACACTCGATTCGTTTTCATTGCGAATTTTCGTTTAATTTCGTGCCATTTCCACTCGTGATTTTTTTTTTTCGTAAATGAGCTCCCTTTTACATTTTGAGAAAATTTATTAATTGTGAAAAATAATAGAACGTATTATTTTGTTGAATTTTTTAAATTGATTCAATCGATTACGATTGTAATTTGATGTTTGTGTTTGTGCAGGGTTAAACTAGTTGTAAATAAATCTACAGGCGAAGCAGTCGCTATGAAAATGATTGACATTGAGAAGCATCCGGACGCGAGGCAGACCGTCCGCAAGGAGACCGCTATCCATCGTATGCTATCGAATCCAAATATTGTACAGTATTTTGGGAAACGCAGCGAGCCCAACATGGAATATATATTTTTGGAGTATGCCTCGGGTGGCGAGCTATTCGATAGAATTGGTAAGATTCGACTGGATATTGTGAAATAATTTCTCGCGCACACAAAAATGTGCGAGAGATTACAAAAGATAGAAGAGACTCAATTTTTAACTCTTTACAGAACCCGACGTCGGTATGCCAACGTGGGGGGCTCAGAAGTATTTCAGACAATTAGTCTGCGGGGTAGAGTATTTACACAGTCGCGGAGTGGCGCACAGAGATCTGAAGCCAGAGAATTTGCTTCTGGACAATAATGACAATTTAAAGATAAGTGACTTCGGATTGGCGACGATATATCGTATGCAAGGTAAAGAACGCCTGTTGGAGAAGAAGTGCGGAACGCTGCCTTACGTGGCACCGGAAGTGCTGGTGAGGGCGTATCACGCGGAGCCCGCGGACGTGTGGTCCTGCGGAGTTATTCTCGTGGCGTTATTGGCCGGAGGTAAATGCCCCCTCGTAAAACTGCGTATATGAAATATCTAAAAAAAAAATCAACTCTGAAGTATGACTTTTATAATTTCATTATCAAATATGTATATAAATTATTTTTATTATTATAACTTATACAACTATTTTGTTAATTTTAAAGTCAAATTAAAATTCGCGATTAACAGTTGAAAACGAATCTCGTAGCAAAAACAAGCCAAAATGTGCCTTTGATTTGGAATTTATTGAAATATCTAAAACTTAACTTGCATGTATATCTAATACTTAACTTCCCCTCAGTTTTTAACTGGTCCATATCTGAAATATAGAACTGCCATGGGACCAACCCCAGGCAGAGTGTCCTGAATATATCGCGTGGCAAGATGGGAAATATATGTCCCTTACGCCGTGGAAAAAACTGGACAATTTGTCATTGTCGTTGATAAGAAAGATCCTTACGGATTCGTCGTCGGCAAGATATAAAATGTCAGACATTAAGCAACATAGGTGGTTTGTCAGGAGTTTTACCAAAGGTAAATAGCGTTTTAGATCGGTTCATTATTTAGTTTATGGTTATATAGGTATCCTGCATCTTTTTTTGTTGTTGACATCCATGGAAGATTAACCTTGGAAGCTCCCAGATAGTGTTTACTTAGTCAGGTACTGAGTGACTCTGAGTATTAATAGAATTACTCAAGGGAACTCGGTACCTAATTTAGTGGATACTGCATACGACGAATTCTCACTTGTTTCTTTTTCTACGTGAGTGCTTTTATTAAATGTTAATTAGAATCATGAAGAGCATTTCGCAGCATAGATTTTGTAATCGGCAGAGCTCTTGCCTTTTCTTTGGTAATACAGCTCTATGAGTTTAATTTAAGTATCATAAAGCTAGATTACCAAAGCAGAGAGCATTGGCATGTACTTCTCAGATAACACAACAAATTTCGGCTACACGTTTTACATAAAATAACATAATAATAATAATATTTTGTGCAAAATCTTGCATTTTAATAAGTATATTTTTTATCACACGAGTGACAAATAGGAGGTATTTATGATTTACAGGTGATCAAGTAGATGGACGAAACCATTTGAATCAGGCGTACGCAGAGGATGAAAATCTAAGAAATGTCTGCTTGTCCCAACCTGAATTACCCGGGATGGAAAGTGATGATACAATTCAATTTAATTTGGACACACGTCCAACATTTTCATTTTCCCAACCCGCTCACGTGGAAGATCTATTATTAGGTACACAATTACAGTTCACACAACCTAGTCAGGTACGGCTCTTACTAAATAAACTTTGAATTAATGTACTGTTAACTCTCTTGAGAAGATATTTCTATACTTTTATGTTCTTTGCTTGCAGCAAAACTCCTTCCAAAGGTTGGTTCGACGAATGACTAGATTCTTTGTTAAAATAGAATACGAGGAGATTGTAAAGAGGCTAATGAGATATTGCGAGAAAGAGAATTATGCCTATCGTGTTAATGAGTTTGGCGTGGTAAGGCTTTATATGCATATAAATAAAAACAAAAAGAAGATATGTAGCCTGTCCTTTTTAGGAGCTTCTTTAGCTAAATTGTCTGCACTAATGCAGAGTTTATCTTTTTTTTTTCAATGCAGAAAGAGAAACTGGCTAATAAGATAACTGACCTATGCCTGTTCTTATGACGTTATGTATTTGTAGGTAACTATGTCTGCTGTGGATCGCCGTAAAATGGCTTTAGTTTTTAAAGTGAATTTTATAGAAATGAACGGAAATATACTAGTCGATTTTCGGTTGTCCAAGGGTTGTGGTTTGGAATTTAAAAGAGCGTTCATTAAAGTCAGATGCTCAATGGAAAATATTATTCTGAAGAGCTCCGTAGTATATTCAAAGAGCTAATCCATTAATGGTAAATATAAGAATTGTATAATTTGTATAATTTTTTAAATATATTTTTTATAATATTTTAATATAAAACCATTTTTGATTCTCTCCCTTGTGCTATATAACATTTTTTAATAATTCCATAATGGATAAGAAAAGTCTCTTATCTGAATAAATTCTTATAATTAGTGTTAGGAGACTTGCAAATTTATGACAAGATGGATGTATAAAGTAGTACTTTTATTGTTCAAGATATACTGAATTCTGAAATGTGCTAATAACACAAAAAATCTATAAGTAATGTGAACTATAAAATATTCAATATACGTTTGGAGTAATAGCTTTATATAATCAGTGATAGAAATTTTATGATTCGTTGAAATCGTTGTTAATTGAATATAACCTACTCAATTCGATTTTTTATTCCTCCAAGAAATATTTATAATTCGATCTTGTATTTAAAATTGTTTCAAGTCGAGTCTTATAATTGATCTTAAAATTCTATGAAATAACAGCATAGCATCTTGAGATCGTATTTAAGACGATCTTAGATCGCGAATTGTAAATTCAAATAAACATTTTGGACTTCTTTCAACAAAAAAAAGCTGATGCACATAACCTCATGCAATTGACGCAATTCAACAAAGAATTTGAGAATATAAAGGAAGGAAAGGGCTTGATTTTTCAATTTGACAACCAATCACATGACATTTCTATAGCACTACTTCCGGAAAAAGCTATCGTTCTTCTGTCCAATCTAATTTCGAACATCCGTGATTTCTCACGTCTGGAGTTCCGATCTCGATAGCGCAGGGTCTATGAACGTAAGCATCGCCGCCGCCGCAGCGCTACCTTCACGGCAAGCCTGCAACTCCCATACGAGTCTTCGACGCCTGCGCGTGCGGTCGTTTTAGCGACGCTGTGTCTGTTGGTGAGAGCAGCGACACTCCGCGGTCCTCGTTTAATTCCGTGCCGAGCGTTTTGTCAATTTCATCGAAATGGATCCAGTAAAAATGTCCATGCAGCCGCACAACAAGAAACGCGTCTGCTACTATTACGACAGTAAGTTACCGTGGAAATCCCGTCGACACTATGCGATCCCGCGAAAAACGCCGCACTCAACACGCACACACACACACACACACATACACGTGCGTGGGGGGGAAGCTTGTAAAATGTGTTTGCGCCGTTCGCGCTTACCGCGTCTATTTCGCGTGATCTAGCTCGGCATCCCACGGCGTATCGGTCCGTCCGCGACTTGCCGATGATAAATACGTCCAGGCACGACCGTCGTAGCACATTGCATCGTCATTCGCACGCTCCCGGAAGTAGATAATACGATTTTTGTAACGTTAAGACGACAGATTCTCACCCACGGTTACGCGCGATCGTAGGCAAGCTTGGGCAAGAGCGTCGGCCATTGCTATATATATGTTACTGCCGCCGTATACTTGAGCACCTTTGACGTTATCAAATCAATATCTCCTACTACAAATAACAATCTTGTAATCCATCTATTCCTCACGATAGCGGCTGATAATCGAAAAATTCGCTTTCTCAATCGACCTAGTGTAGGAATCCGGATCGCATGATGGAGCTTCGACGTTTCACAAGTCACGTATTTTCAAATATATCTGACCATATGTGGCAATAATTATTCGCCCTATGCTTAGAATTGTCACTCTTCTTAATCGTGACGCGAGGTTTTGTCACGAAAAAGTCGAAACTGATGGCTCGAACTGCAGACGGCAATAGGTTAGGTTATAAGGAACATAGTGGGATTTTACGAGATTATTGACTAATACGAACCGCAAAAAGGCACTTTCCCGACGTAATTCACGCTCGCCGAAGATATTCTCCCGTGAAAACGGTATTTCGGCGAACGCCGTGGAAGGTGATACTGTTTTTGCATAGGTTACCGCGAGAGATTCTCAGGTGCGTTCCGGCGCACCGTAGCTCGTCAGCCGACCGCGTCATCCAATGATACCCAGATATTTCGTCTTTTTTACCATGTCGATCCATTTATGCACGTGTCCCTTCAATCTGTCTAGGTGATATCGGAAATTACTATTATGGCCAGGGACATCCTATGAAGCCGCACCGCATAAGGATGACGCACAATCTACTTTTAAACTACGGTCTCTACAGGAAGATGGAGATATACGTGAGTACTTGTTGGAGATTATATTTTTAATCTCACAAAAAGCATAGTTCTACTTGATTATGATGTTAAACGTAATGGAATATTGATAATTCAATTATACTTCATCACTGATTAGCGGCCTCATAAAGCCACGGCGGACGAGATGACGAAATTTCACAGCGACGAGTACATTAGATTTCTGAGGTCTATAAGGCCAGATAATATGTCGGAATACAACAAGCAGATGCAACGATGTAAGGCATCGTTATTGGATAAGCTGTAATGTCGAAGGCGAAAACATTTATTGTCACGTCCCTTTCTCTTTGCGTTTAGTTAATGTAGGAGAAGACTGCCCCGTTTTCGACGGTTTGTACGAGTTTTGCCAATTGTCAGCCGGCGGGTCCGTAGCCGCCGCCGTGAAGCTCAACAAGCAAGCTTCTGAAATCTGCATCAACTGGGGCGGCGGTTTGCATCACGCGAAGAAGAGCGAGGCCTCCGGCTTTTGCTACGTGAACGATATTGTGCTTGGAATACTGGAATTGCTGAAGTATCACCAGAGAGTCCTGTATATCGATATCGATGTTCATCACGGCGATGGAGTAGAAGAAGCTTTTTATACGACTGATAGAGTAATGACAGTTTCGTTCCACAAATATGGCGAATATTTTCCCGGAACCGGAGATCTTCGCGATATCGGGGCAGGCAAGGTAAAAAAAATGTGCTTTTTTTTTACTCACACAATACTGCGCACATGTAAAATAATAAGTTGCATTAAATGTACATGGCTTCTGTTTATTGCTAACAGGGAAAATATTATGCGGTCAATATACCTTTGAGAGATGGTATGGACGACGAGAGCTATGAGTCGATCTTTGTCCCTATTATCTCGAAAGTGATGGAAACGTTTCAACCCTCTGCTGTCGTTCTACAGTGTGGGGCTGATTCATTGACCGGTAGGACTTCTTAAAAAGTAGCTATTCTCACACAATGAAAGATTACAAGAACTTTTAATTATGTAAATATAAATCAATGCAGGCGATCGACTGGGATGTTTCAATTTAACCGTCAGAGGCCACGGCAAATGCGTGGAGTTTGTGAAGAAATATAATTTGCCTTTCTTGATGGTCGGCGGCGGTGGTTACACCATCAGGAATGTGTCCAGATGTTGGACGTACGAAACGTCGGTCGCTCTCGGATGCGACATCGCTAACGAGCTTCCGTATAACGATTACTTCGAATACTTCGGCCCCGACTTCAAGTTACATATTAGCCCGTCGAACATGGCGAACCAGAACACCCCTGAATATTTGGACAAAATAAAGTAGGCATTCTTGCAATACTACGTTTAGCTTGGTATATACACGCATATTGTAAGTGAGCTAATTCGTAATTGCGTTTGTTCGTAGAACGAGACTGTTTGAAAATTTGAGAATGCTACCTCACGCGCCTGGCGTGCAAGTCCAGGCGATACCAGAGGACGGAGCGGTTATCGAGGACTCGGAAGCTGAAGAAAAGGTCAATCCGGACGATCGATTGCCGCAACGCGACTTAGATAAAAGAATGCAACATGAAAACGAATATAGTGACAGTGAAGATGAAGGCGAAGGCGGGCGAAGGGACAATAGATCCTACAAGGTAAATGATCTTTGTTGTACTAATAGTTGACGTATAATTTTCTACAAATTTAAAAAAAACGAATGTTAAATATTAAAAAAATATCATTTCGTTCCTTCTTATCTTAATCTAGGGATCTAGGAAGCGGCCCCGTTTGGAAAAAGGTCAAGAGGCCATGGATACTGATATAAAAAAGGAAGAGGATATAAAGACGGAACCAAAAGGTATTAAATCGCATCTGATTATATTGCCGCTTGTCTATACCACGTTGTAATTAATGTCAGGGGAAAAATTAATTATATTTAATTTTTTTTTATTTAGAAAATGAAAAGGACGAGAAGGTAAACCCCACGAATGAGGAAACCAAGAAAGACGGCGGGGCGAATCCCTGATAGATGGTTGCCCCGGAGCATTTTCTCAGAAAATGGAGAAGCTCTTATTTAAATTAAGTAACGAATAAGTTTAAATAGCTTAAATAATGGCAGCACACAGTGCATCGGTGTCTGCTGCCTCTACCTCGCGCGCGCCCTATAATTTCGAAATCATTATGTTTTTACCCAAAATTTCTGAAAAATATTTAGACGTCTAGAAATATCGGAAAAATTTCATTTCCTGGAACGTCATCCTCATTGAAATTGACACGTATGAGCGTGTTATACGTAGCTTATAATATCCCAGTTTTAATCATAGACCGTTAGGAATTTCGAAGCGTATCTCTGAGTGTTCCGAAATGTTTTTTTTTTCCGGAAAATGTAATTTTGAAAATACCGCACAAAGATAATTAAAAATATATCCGCGATCGCGAAACAGCGTTTTGAGCAACTCGTCAGAATTTTAGAATCCGACCATTAATTGATTCTTTTTATACATATTCCTTTATAGCGGTGTCATTCGTAAACTAAATTTTTCTGCGAGAGATCGTTCGCGAGTAGGTCTCGCGACTGTATATTTCAGAATTTTATATGAATACTCCCAAGGATTTTACAGAGATGTATACAAATATTCCAAGGATGGGTTACATAAAAATATTAACGATCGACTTAAGAATTATATCACCCAGACGCTGCAATCAAACTCATATGATATATACAAGAACGATACATATGTAAACGTAAATGTACACGTCGGCCGCATGCATTTTGTTTGCGCGATCGGTGTGTAATTTCGTACGTCTTCTCACCCACTCGCGGCTAATTGAATCACTCGATAGAGACTAGTACACCGTTTATACTAAGGAAAGGGGCTAGAACTGTCTTTTAAATCAATTGCTCTTGGATAAAATCATGTGTTGACGAATTTGTTCGCTTCCTATTGTACATAATACGCAAATTAATCTTGAAGGAAATTAATCCTTGCATGCAATAACACTATACTGTAATCATAACGATGTTCTTTATGAAAGTGTAAAAATATGTCTTACATTACTCGAAAGATTAGCGAATGTTCCTTTGGCTGCCCCTCTGGGTTTTATCTGGCGAATTGAGTATTATTAACTTGTAACACAGTTCAGAGAGCGAAAGCTACAGGACATATTAGAGTAGCTTGACAATTGAGAAGCTTTAGAAAGTTACAAGTTAATTTCTCGCATCTTAACTAGATAAATTGAAGAGGAATCTGAGAAAGGAATGGAGATACATCCTTCTGATATTTTTGAGTAATGTACGAAGAGAGAGAAACAAAATGAGGTCGGAAAGTGCGGTGGAGCTTAGGGCAGTTGAGGAATCATATAATCAATTTCAAATGTAATTGTAGAATCTTAAACGTATACTAGGCAAGATTTATCTCAATTTATATATAGGTATATAAAAAAGAGATGTGGAAAAATTGATTCGTGGCATCCATACCTGATCTCCGTAACAAAAAAATTCAAGATTTCATTCCGAAGATCGAACGTGTCGATCTTGACGCAGCAAAATATTTATTGTAAAATCTGTCTTCAGGCTACGTTCTCACATATTTCCATATTTTCATGCGAGAGCAATAATTATGCAACCTTATGTACATAAAATTTGTTTTTTTTTTTCTTTGCGATGCCAGAACTCGATCAAGGCCCAGCGTGTCCATTTTTATCTGTAACAATCTAATATATTGCGATTAATCAGCGTAACACAAACTAAAAAAAAGGATAAATCGCGTTATGTCTCGTAAGTCAATTCGAGATATAGATCAAGTATTAGATATTTATGTCCACGCATAAGAGTACACACATATGGACGTTTTTAAATATTTATAATAAAAAAAAATAAAGAAATCTATATATGTAGTTCTGTGTTATTTGATAACGTTCTAGAAAGACAGCTGAAGGACCGTAGCCAGCACGTCAAAAGTTCTATTAATCGCTTTCAGAAACGATTATGAAAATAAATAAAAATTCAACTATTTCACAATTAAATATATTTAATAATTGAATCATTAAATTTTATTGAATGAATATTTTTTTCACGTACACGCACGCGCGCGCGCGCGTGTGTGTGTGTGTGTGGGGGACAATGTGGGCACGTGCGCGTGTGTGCGTTGCTTCATGCCTTTATGAATGTCGAATGATGCAAAAGTCCAAGGTGGTGGTAGTCCGGAAGAGCCGGCGTCTCGGCAATTCCCTCTCTCGTTGGTTCGATTTGTCATCAGAGTATGACGTACAATGTAATAGGGAAAACAATGATAAGAATCCACTTGCGGCTGACGCAAATTGATCCATCGTGCGTGGCAACCATATCGGACCGGGTTTAACCTCCTCGACCGCAGGAAGGAGGAAGCAAGCTGGTGCTTGATGCCGCGCAGTTGCCTCGCATGTGAAATTACTTTTGCTCGCGCTGGAGAACAGCGCGCGGAACACATTTTTCGCGGTAAGACATTTGATCCCGGTAAATTAACGATCGAGTTAGCTCGAACGACGTGTTAGCTCGACTGTCTGTTGACAATGCGTTCGTTGGCAGGTTACTCCTGGCCGCAGAGAGCTCGATGAGATGTGAGATTCCAACTGGGTCTGCCACCGTGCCGCGTTGGACGAGAGAAAGTCGCAGCGCAGAGAACGGGGGCCTCCGGGCCGTCAGGCCTCGCCAGAATGATCTCCCAAATGTCGCACGTGATGACCCTCGCCAACAGCATCATCGGCGTGAGCGTTCTGGCGATGCCGTTCTGCTTCAAGCAGTGCGGCATAGTGCTGGCCGTCCTGGTGCTGCTTCTGTGCAGCGCCCTGTCCCGACTGGCCTGTCACTTCCTCGTCAAGTCGGCCGTGATCTCGAGGAGGCGCAACTTCGAGCTGCTCGCCTTCCACGCGTTCGGCCACATGGGAAAGTTCCTCGCCGAGTTGTTCATCATCGGCTTCATGCTGGGCACGTGCATCGCCTACTTCGTCGTCGTCGGCGATCTGGGGCCGCAGATAGTCTGCAAGATGATGAGCAAGAACCCGGCCGACATTCGCACCAGCTTGCTGATTGTCACCGGAGTCTTCATAGTCCTGCCCTTGGGGCTGCTCCGTAATATCGATAGTCTGTCCAGCATTTGCACCGCCACCATTGTCTTCTATCTCTGTCTTGTATTAAAGGTATAACGCTCGTTTATGTTATATAATGCATAAACTATAATTTATTCGTAAAAGATACAGCCGTATGAAGCGCCACAAATTAACGTGAACGTCCTATATATCTATATATATCAAGGAAAAATAAATTAAAGAATAATTTTAATAAAAATTTGAATATTTTATTTTATTCTTTGGCCTTTATTACTGCCTTTTCCAAGATAATTGCAATAAATTGTGGGTACTTTATATTTATGGCCAAAACTGTACTTGTATCATGCTTGAAAATACATAATTAAGGTATTTTCCTTTCCAATCGACAGATCATGGGCGAATCGACCGTACATATTTTTATGGGAGATTGGTTTAACAGTGTCAATTACTGGAGACCGGCTGGTATCCTCCAATGCCTACCAATATTTTCCATGGCTCTTTTCTGTCAAACACAATTGTTCGAGATATACGAAACCATTCCAAACGTATCCCTGGAGAAGATGAACGACGTTGTACGAGGAGCGTTGAATATATGTACACTTGTATACATGTTCGTTGGCCTGTTTGGTTACATTGCATTCTGTACTCAACCATTTACAGGTAATTCAAAGCTATTACACACTTACAATAAACCTTACAATAAACAGCTTATTATTACTTTGTTTTACTCTTATCGTTGTTATGTTGCAGGAAATATTTTATTGAGTTTCGAGCCTAGCATAACGTCAGAATTGATTAAACTGGGATTCGTGTTTTCGGTTGCATTTAGTTTCCCTCTAGTCATATTTCCATGTCGTGCGAGCTTGAATTCTCTTTTATTTCGCCGGGTACGTATGACAGGTCCAGATAAATCTACAAGTTACTGCTAACATCTACTAATCCACGTTTTACTGTTACACCAGGTGTATACCCACGAACCGTCTGTCAATTATCTGCCGGAGTCCAGGTTTCGATGCCTCACGCTCGCGATAGTCAGCATCTCCCTGATCATCGGTATTCTAGTGCCGAACATAGAATTCGTTCTCGGTATCGTGGGATCGACGATCGGCGTGATGATTTGTCTGATATTCCCGACAGTATTCTTTCTATCTATAAGCAGCAAAAATACTAACGAAAGACTAGTGGCACAGGTAAAGTACCGATTTTTGGTTTTACGACTTTTTTTTTTTTTTATACAGCGTATATTTTGCGTTTACAGTGCATTTTAATCGTCGGCGTTTGGATCATGATTCTCGGCACGTACGCCAATTTGTACGCCATCGAGGAGTCTACAAATGCGAAGTTAGCGGTGACTAGTAAGCCGCTCATGCAAATAAACGATTTACCGTTAGACATAATTAAAGAGGATTCACATATCATTCCCGAAATTCCCAACAGTTTGGAACTTATTCCTAGAAAAGGTACAGATTTATTCAAATTTACCCATCACTTTTATTGTTATCTTAATTTTATGTTATATTACCCTCTTAACGTTTGTATTACAGACAACATTAATCAATTGCCTGACGTAAATGTTGTCGACAAAACGTTAGATCTGAAGGTGAAAGACGTTCGGCAAGAGCCGCCAATACCCGTCGAACGTGTGATCGTCAGCGAGAAGCCAAATGTCGAAAAGTCTGATGGCATAGCAATAGACTCTCGTGTGCCAGAGACAAAGAATGTAGTTGAAACAATCAAGAATGAAATGTTGAACGCGCAATCACAGGTCGCCACAAACGCCGATAACGCTAAAATCGACGAATCGGTTACGTTGAAGGCGGAAGAGAAGATAAAGATGATCGAGGAGAAGGAGCAATCGATGGACTTGCAGAAGAACGACAATCTCATTAATTTGGACGCGATAAAGAAGGAGGAGTCAGAGCTGGCGGCTGATGACGGGGACACGGCTAATGCCAGAGCTGTGGAGCGACACGAGCAGCTCAGAAAAACGTTGGAGAAGCACAAATTGGAGCAACGCCAGATGATGCAGGAGCAAAAGGAGATTCTGAAGGATATCAAGGAGCAAAAGCAGGAATTCGAGAGGGAGAAGCAGAGAATGGCGAAGGGCGAGATATTGAAGAAGAACGAGAAGGGACAAGTTGACACGAGGGATAACGCTTTGCCGGAGAGCAAGAGTAATTTGCGAGAAAACGATAAGAAAACTGTTGAAAATAACGAGATCACTATCGAGAAGAATAAGGAAGCTTTGAAAGAGAAGGAAATTAATGCTGACAAAATTGAATCAAATGAAAAGCCTCGAGACGAGAATAATGTGGACGTCGCGGTTGAAAGTAGCAAGAAAAAGGTAGATCTGTTTCACGAAGATTCTCAAAATAAGAATGTAGAGGAACCTGCACAGCAAATACCAGGAAATGCGCCAGATGTACTTCTTCCTATCGAAGAGGCAGTCGCCGAGCGAGAAACATCGGAGAAATCGTTACAGAAAAAAAAGCAAGACGAGAGGAAGGTAGAAAGAGTGTTGTTGAAATCTAACGATTCCGTAAATATGAAGGGTCCCATCTTGAACGTCTTGTCGAAGGGAATTCTACAAAGGTCCGCCGTGGGAGAGGGGCTTGCTAAAGAGAATGAAAATCATCGGGCGAAGGAGGAGAAGAGAGAGGTCCTTACGAACGAAGTCGCGAACGCGTCGGACAAATTGCAGGGGAAATACGACGACAAGTATTCCGTGCCGATAGCGTTAAAAATGACGAATCAGTCGAAATTAGACAAGCCGATTGTTTCGTCGTTGAACAAGAGTGAGCCGGAGGTTCTCGGTGTACATCGAGACATTCTGGAGAATAACGAACGCGAGAAGAGAGACGTCGACAGAGAGGTGAATATGAACGACACGAAGATCGACGGCGATCATCCGACTGAGAAATCCGAATCTCTTGCTAAAGACGTCGGCGATGCGGACGGCGAGACCTGCTCGAAATTGCAGGAGAGACCGAAGGCAGAGGGGGTATCGGAGGCGAAGAGGGAATCCGAGAGAAGAGTAAATAAACCGAGTACAACTGAAGTGCCTCTGATTAACACAAACCTTTATTTGTCCGAGCAGAGAATAGCAAAGACGATTTCTGTGGATCAGCACGCTGCTCTCGACTCGGAGTACGCGGGTGTGAAACAGGAAGACTCGATGGTTTTCAGTCCTAAAGATAAAACTGAGATATAAACGTCTGATTCGAAGGAATCGGATTTACGCAGCATAATATTAAATTTGTAAGTCGCGGATCACTCGTAGCTTTCCAAGTCGCGCGGTACCTTCTTATTTATGTTCATTAATATCACAATTATTACTAATTGTAAGTTCAAAGTGCAATGAGCATTTCTGTTCGGATGAGTATGTGTATTACGAGAGTAGAATGATATATTCGTATGATTGATAACATAAAATATATTTATAACTTGTACAATTGTATGAATGTGACTTTTATATGATTGCTGTACATATTAATCTGCATAATCTGCACACCATATTCTTCATTTTCTTCATGGCGTGACAATTGTAAAAATAATGCAAATATTAGTATTTAAAGTTTAAGTTAAGTTTAGGACGCGATAAAGGAGGACCAAAATACAGATGTATTTTTACACAGAAATTCGTATCTTCTTGCGAATTATTTAATTTACCAAGATATACTTCAATTTGATTTCAATCCTTTCTAATATCTTTTATCAAATCTTTATCTCTAATTATCTAATTACCTTTATGTAATTATCAATACTAGACTACACATGGGAGATTGAGGATTGCGAATTGGAGATTAGAATTCAACTAATCAGAATGAAATGGATTAAAATAAATATCTCAACGTCGAACTCTAATCTTCAATTCGGCGTTCTCAGTTTTCGATGCGTAATCTGATACAGACATTGACATCTTTGATATCTTGACACATTACGCAGTATTCACTGGTTCTGATGTGGGCTCTGTGATCTCTACGTCCCTACATTTCGCATGTTGTAATTCTCTTCTGATTTCGGGAGTGATCGAGTGGTGACAATGTTTCCTCAGTAATTCTAACAAAGCGTGCTTCTGCTCGGAGCTGATATCGCCCTTGTATCGTTGCACGAACGTTAGGAGAGCCTGATGCCATAGCACTGGCAACTCTCTTCTGTCGCGCTCGAACCTAATGGAATATATTTTTATATGAACGTGATTCTTAATAATTTCCGCTTGAAATTCGTTTCATTATTATATATACTTGTATAAATGTATATCTTACTGAAGAAAGTGAAACACTACTCCATCCACCACTCTGTACGGAAGCGCGTATTTCTTGTCCAGAAATATCCTGAGGAAGATGCTGTTAGCACCGGTGTAATTCATCTCTGCGATTTTCAGTATGGCCGCCGAGGAGTGCAAGATCGGTATCGAGTTCTTCGCGATCACGGACCCGACGATCACGGCCTCTCTGAGCGTGCAGGTGCCCGACTCCAGGAGCGGCAGGAGGATCCCCTTCATGAATCCGGCCGGCTTGAACAGGGCCTTCCGCAGCGCCTGGTACAGGTGGAAATTCAGTCTCTTGTACTCGGCCAAGTCGTCCCTGATGCGCGGCAGCAGCACCAGATTGTAAAACCTCTGGGCCATCTTCTCCTTCAGATTCGAGGCGAATATCCTGGTCGCCTGATACATGGCGGCGGCGGACCACTTGGGCGGGTCCGTGATGTACAGTATCTGCTCCCAGTTGCGCAGGGTGGGCACGATCTTGAAGGCCTTCGGCAGCTTGCCGCTGCGGTACTTGGCCAGAACGTCCCGGACGCCCTCGTACATCGCCCTCACCCGCGGGTCCAGATCCTGCAGCTGAACAGTCCCGGCGTCGGAGAACTGCGTCTCGATCTCGGTCTTCTTCTCCGTCAGCTTCTCCATTATTATGTCGGCCAGCGTCCGCGTGGGCGCCGGGTCCTTCGACATGAACATCTGCAACGCCCGTTCATCGTCCTCGTCGATCTCGATGTTCTCGTAGTAGTACACATCCTCCACCGGCTCGTCGTCGCCGCTGGATCGCGCCTCGTCGTCTGAGCTGAAATCGGCGGTGCCGAGTTTCACCGACTTCTTCGCGCACCGGCTGGGTTCGCTCGGACCAACCTCAGCCTCGATCTCCAGCTGCTGCCGCCTGGCTTGCGACAAGATCTTCTTCGTCAGATTCGGCGCTACGTACTGAACGAGAGATAATAGCAATAAGTTGCGACAGAAGCAAAAAGATGTGAAGAAGTGAGGTTAACAAATTTTTTTTCTTTCCAAGGAGCTTAATTATTTATGTTTAATTTCAAACAATAATCAGCACGAAACAAGCACGCAGTGAAGGAAATAAATGCGAAGACTAACCTCTATACTAGAGACAATAAAGCATAAATTTCAACAGAAATAAAAAGATATGAAGTGAGGTTAAAAAATGTTTGTCTGCATTTTCTAAAAAGCTTAATTTTTTGTTTCATTTCAAATAATAATCAGCACGAAACAAGCACGCAGTGAAGAAATAAATGCGAAGACTAACCTCTAAACTAGACGAGAGACAATAAAGCATAAGTTTCAACAGAAATAAAAAGATGTGAAGAAGTGAGGTTAAAAAATTTTTTTCTGCATTTTCTAAGGAGCTTAATTATTTATGTTTAATTTCAAACAATAATCAGCACGAAACAAGACGAACGCAGTGAAGGAAATAAATGCGAAGACTAACCTCCTCTTCGTCGGCTCGGCGTCTGACCTTCTGCCTATTTTTTACTTTCACCGCTTTCTCGAGCTCTATTTGATCCGCCAGACCTATTTTCGGTTCTTTCGTCTCGCTTTTAGACACCTTGATCTTTTTCGCCTTACCCATCTTTCCAGCTGCACTATCAAGTTGTGTCTCTAATAAATATCGATGCTAACCAACAAAAACACGACAAACACGTGCGTATGCTCGAAGCCATGGATTCCTTGCCTCGAAGCAGTCGAAGCCACGTGACGTAAAGTTGAGTTTAATCATTAATTGCATTTTTAATCATTAAATTATGATTAATTTAAGCGACATTTTTCACCGGAAACTTAAATACAGCCGCAGTATTTATTTTCTAATAATAAATTCGGATAATAAAATCGCATCTTTATTATCAATAATATTAATGTTGATATCAATGTAATATTTAAGTAAACAAACATCAATAACAATTTAATCTAGTCAAATTTTGCAATAATAAATCTTCCGCCGATCTTAAATTACTGTAAACTTGTCCAGTAATTCGGACCAATACGAATCGTCGGAAACGTCCACGCTGGACATCCAATGTATTTCTCAGGAGTTTCTCATCGACATATGTTTTATAACCTATGCTTTTACATTTGCGCGCGAAGACCGCGAAGACGAGGCGATAACGATATACGTTATTTAACCGCAATACTCGTGCTGCGAGGAGAACGTTTGTCGAATCGAATTTCCAAGCTGGACTGCGTGGCTAAAACTCGTGAAAAATGGCGAATAAAGTGGCAAGAGATTACACCAAGGACAAAGGTAGGATTTTTATGTTGTCGCGCAGAATTTCCTCGTGGAGAGGCGACTGTTTACACACAACCGACTTGACATATCAATGCCTTTGACAACTCCCATATCTCTATCGTATTACAAATTTAACGAATGTATTTCAGAGCAAATGAAGACCTTCTTCCTGGAATTTGTCGATATGGACGATAAGACGGGAAATAAAACTTTCAAATATAGGCAGATGCTCACCAAGATAGCACACCGCGAACAAATTAGCTTCGAGATCGATTTGGATGATGTGCACTCGTTTGACGATGAATTAGCCATGTCTATCTCTAGCAATACACGACGATATACCAATTTGGTCCTGAATGTACGTTTATATAAACACTGTTCTGCGAATACTCGAGATTGTTCGGTACAAGATTTCCATACGTAAATATCTAATCGCATAGATTTTTTGATCGCTGCAGACTGATGCGTGTACAAGCTTGTGTATCTTACAGCGTGCAGAATTAATTAATTGAACGTGAATTTTTTTTATATCAGCTGGTTCAAGAGATGCTGCCTGACTTTAAAGAGAGAGTTGTCCTAGCGAAAGATCCATTGGACGTGTATACGGAGCATAGATTATTAATAGAAGCGGGCAAAGCTCCGACTGTGCAGAATGCTGACAAAGTTAATTATGCTCCTGAATTGATGCGCCGTTTGTAAGTAAACATATTTTATATTTAGATATATATTCACATAAATAATCTAAAATAATCCAGGCTCTCATAGATGTGTCTACTTTTTAGTGAAGTCTACTTTAAAGATTTCTCCGATGCGAAGGCGTATTCAGTAAGAGATATCAAAGCGGATAAGATTGGAAAGTTGGTAACGGTTAGAGGTATCGTTACTAAAGCGACCGAAGTGAAGCCGATGATAGTTGTGGCGACGTATACATGCGACGAATGCTGTTCGGAAGTGAGCCAGCCGGTACGAGCTAATATACAGCTAATATTTTTTTCTTTTATACATTCAATAATATTCAATAATAATCAAAGGACATGTTTTATAATTTTTTAATATTTTTTTCTTTTATACATTCAATAATATTCAATAATAATCAAAGGACATGTTTTATAATTTTTATATTTTTAAAAAGTTTTTTTTAATTAATTGTTTTACTTAATTATTACAGGTACATTCTTTAAGCTTCATGCCAATACGAACGTGCCCGAGCGACGCATGCCGCGTAAACAAATCCGGTGGCAGGTTGTACCTGCAGACAAAAGGCTCGAAGTTTATCAAATTTCAAGAAATAAAATTGCAAGAACATGTAAGTTTACAAATATTTAAATATTTCTTCTTTAAATTCTTTCTTAAACGTCTACTGACGTAATTTTTTTTACAGAGTGAGCAAGTCCCGGTAGGTCACATACCGCGATCGTTGACCATCTTCTGCCGCGGCGAAACAACGAGAACCTGCCTGCCCGGGGACCACGTTATTATAACCGGTGTGTTCCTACCTTTCCTGAAAACGGGTTTTAATGCTAGAGCAGGGCCTGCTCTTTCCAGTGAAACTTACTTGGATGCGCATGTAAGAATAAATATATCGATTTTACGATCACAAAATCATCTTAGTGTCTTTTTACTATAAAATTTGTCTCCCGTTTGATTTCAGAAAGTGGTATGTCTGAATAACGTGGATACCGTAGACGATAGCAGTGCAGAATTGACGGATGAAGAACTGGGTTTACTGATGCAAGATGATTTTTACAACAAGTTGGCTTGCTCCTTAGCTCCTGAGATTTATGGGCTTGAAGACGTGAAGAAGGCGTTGCTTCTGCTTTTGGTTGGAGGAACGGACAAGAAGAGAGGCGACATCAAAATTCGAGGTAAAGATATTGCTTCGTTGATTTAAGAATTTATCGTCTACGTCTATCTTTAATATCAAGCGACGTTGTCAAGATAATTTCACTGCTTTCAGGGAATATTAATATTTGCTTGATGGGAGATCCCGGCGTGGCGAAGTCGCAGTTATTATCCTACATAACGCGATTGGCCCCGAGATCGCAGTACACGACAGGACGAGGATCATCCGGCGTCGGTTTGACCGCTGCCATCATGAAGGATCCTCTAACGGGTCAGATGGTGCTGGAGGGTGGAGCTTTGGTACTGGCGGATCAGGGGGTGTGTTGCATCGACGAGTTCGATAAGATGGCAGATGCGGACAGAACGGCGATTCACGAGGTGATGGAGCAACAGACCATATCTATCGCCAAAGCTGGCATAATGGCCCGTTTGAACGCCAGAGTCTCTATACTGGCCGCTGCCAATCCGGCATACGGCAGATACAATCCGCAGAGAACGGTTGAGCAGAATATTCAGTTGCCCGCCGCATTGCTGTCGCGTTTTGACTTGCTGTGGCTTATTCAGGATCGCGCAGATCGGAGTAATGATCTTAAGTAAGTTTTTATATTGTATATTTGCATATTATTTTTAATGTAAGCCACTTTTCTTTAGCATATCTCTCAGTCTTGTTAAACAAAATTTTTTCAATTTCATATTTAATAATATTTGTAATACTAGGATTAGAAAATAATATTTGTATATTATTTTTAACATAAGCCATTTTTCTTTAGCATATCTCAATCTAATTAAATAAAATTCTTTTCAATTTCATATTTCATAATATTTGTGATGATAAATACAAGTATTCTTTTATAGACTCGCGCAACACATCACATATGTTCATCAACATTGCTCGCAACCTCCGACGGAGATAGAAGCCATAGATATGAAATTGATAAGAAAATATATAAACCTGTGTAAAACGAAAGAGCCTGTTGTATCAGAAGAATTAACAGAATATATTGTGGGTATGTATATACACAATTTATGTTATAATTTTATTTTATTACATCTTAAAATATATATTATAAAATATAAAATTTTTATTGTAATATATATTGTGTATTGAACTATAAATTTATAATTTTTCAAATATTGTAACTGCATTAGTAAGATTAGTAACATTGCAGTAACATTTATAAATTTTTCAAACAATTGAATTAAATTTATTTTATAGCTATGTAATTATTTTGAAATATTGTCACAGATTCTTATGTGGAAATGCGAAAAGAGGCGCGTAACAGCCACGACAAGACGTTTACTTCCGCTCGTAATCTACTGGCTATCCTACGGTTGTCGACGGCATTGGCACGATTGCGATTATCAAACGTGGTTGATAAAGACGACATAGCAGAAGCGAACAGACTAGTGGAGATGTCGAAGCATTCGATCAACTACTCCGAACAACGCACCGGCAACGCGCAACAGAATCCGACCAACAGGATCTTCCAACTAATACGGGAACTTGCTGGCGATAAAAAGACTGTCAAGGTGTCGGACATTCTGGAGCGATGTACGAGCAAAGGATTCAAACCCGATCCAGTGTACAGATGCATCGAGGAATACGAGGCGTTGAACGTGTGGCAGGTCAATCAAACCAGAAGATTAATCACTTTTATTTAATTTTCAGCCTGACAATATCTATTGCAGAAACTAATATTTTTTTATATCTTGAAAGTATACTCATTCTGTATTTTTACAATAAAAAATGAACCATTTTCTAACTTATTTTATAAAATTAACATTAAATTTATCAATCATTATGCAATTGAATGCGTTACTCTCAAGAATCAATATCTAAAAGAAGTTATCACTTAACTATTTTGTCAAACTTCAAGAATTTAGATTTTCGCGGTTTAAAGTTATCAATTTAATAAATTCTAAAAAATTTTCAAGTTTTTCTAAGGAATTTTTGAAAGTTTTAGATAATATAATATTCTCGCTCGATTTTCTTGGTACTTTGTCAATTTTCGAGACTCGTTATTCATTAAAATTTTTAAACCTGAAATAAGGATTCTAAAAATTTTTGTTTATAAGATATATATTTTTACAGAGAAAGAAAGAGAGAATAAATATATTATTTAATATAGAGAGAATAAATATATTATTGTCGATAATTTAAGTAATATATAAATTTATATTAGTATACTTGTTGAAAAAGAAATTTTCCTTACCAGCCATTAGCAATCCCCGTCCACCGACGGAGCGGCTTGCGATTTCGCGAACTCGTCGCCGCGCCTCGCGCGCTATCTGGCGGGCCCGTTCGAATGTCGGGTCGGGCACGATTATCAGTCCGCGGTCCCAGGCGCTTCAGTCGCATCGTGTCGTCCGTGGGAGGTGTTTCGACGCCGCGCGCTCGCCCTCGCTCCCGCATCCTCGCGTTCGCGCCCGCGGTGCAGCCGTACGTACCGAGGGTACGGTGCAGTGTATGCGTCGCACGTGTACGCACACACACGCAGCAAACGCTCGCCCGCACACACACGGACGCGTAAAAATACATATGTGCGTTTCGTACTGTGATACGAGCCGTCGTCGAGTGGCCGAGCGTGCTTGTGCCGGGAGCACCGCTGGATGTACGTGATCGCCAGGACGCGTCGCTGATCGCCGTCTCTGACCTCTCTCTCTCTCTCTCCTCTCTCCTTCCTCCCTCTCTTCCTCTTCTCCTTTATTCTTCTCTCCTCTCCTTCTCTCTTTTTCCTTCTCTTCCTCGTCCACCTTCATCGTCTCACGAGCGCACCAAATGTTCGCGCCGCATGCTCCGAGTGCCCGCAGCACCGCCACCGCTCGCTTTCGTCGCCGTCGTCGTGCCGTCTGACGGCGCGTCCGCCGTTCGGCAGCAAGCGATCACCGCGTTCCGATACGGTGGATGACTCCGCCAGGAACGAATTTGTAAAACAAGAAGAAGAAAACGAGAAAAAAAGGAGAGAAGCCAAACGAGAGTACAGGCGCGCTATACAGAGCGAAAGAGAGGGGGACGATTTTCGCGAGCGCGCTCGCGAAACATCCTCTGGTCGACCGTACACGAATTTTCCTCGCGGGTTTCCCCCAGGTTCCCGTCTCTCTTTCTCTCTCTCTCTCCTCATCGCTGTTCGCCGCGTTTCGGGGCCATTTTGCCGAAATGAAAATAACACCGCGAGCCGCCTCACGCGGCTTCCCCGCGTCTACGGTCCTGCTCCTCGCGATCCTCGTCTGGTGCGTGTGCTCGATCGCGCACGCGAGATCGCACCGCCTGAGGACGACGACGTCCGACAGCGGTGGCAACGGCACCGAGTCCGTCGTCAACTGCGAGCTGGTCTTCGAGAACATCACGCTCGCACCGGCCGCCGCGGACCCTTCGAAAAGTAAGTCGATTCTCTCGTATATACAATTTATATATTTTATATTGTTCTGATGAAAGAAAAGAAAAAGAGAGTAGGTATTTCCTGTGTCGTACGTTAATTTTTCGTATTTAATGCACCGTCGAAGAAATCGTCTTCGCGAGACGCGCAGAAAGCCGGCAGAACTGCTCCGGAAAGTTCGTCTTCGGACAGTAACGTCAAAATCAGGTGATTCTGACATTTCTGTCAGATGGACGTGCCCAGCATCGCGCTGGGAGAATAAAAAGACGAAAACAGGTAGAGGCTTCCCGAGAGACGAGACGAAACGAATTTTGGGCAAGTTAATTGAATAATATCCATTTCTCTACTAATGCTTGATTAATTTTAATCTCAATTTAACTTACTTTTCTAGTTTTAAGAATTAGAAAAAGATAAAGAGCAAATTGAACCGAGATTAAAATTAAATTACATTAGTAGAAATGGACATAAAAGCGGGAGTACTTTTAATTAGGATAATTATATATTATATATGATAATTTTATATATGTATATTTACGATTTATACATGTATATCTATAATTTTACATATGTATATCTAATTTTGAGAAATATTTATAATAAATGAATATATAATTAGGATCATTGACATTCAGTCGAATTTAACGTAATTTGATTAATTATTAATATTTAGAACGATAACGAGTCGTGAGTCTCGCTCGTCAAAGTAATTTCTTTTCTCCGGTTTTCGATGTTGGAAAATTACTTTAAAAGCTTTCGTGCTCGCTTCAAGTTCAAGTTAGAACACTTCCAATCGCCTCGCGACAACTCCGCGGAGCATTAACATAGTAATGTCAACTAATTGGACAATAATTGCCAGTAGTACGTGTAATACCACTGGTATTTATAGTTGTCGACGTTAACGCGCTATCACATTGCTATCAGCCAATGCCTGCAATGGCCATTCTAAAGGATTATCAAAATTGTTGATGTTATACGCAAATTAATATTCGATATTTGATATCATTAATATTAATATTGTTATCACATTTAGTATGCGGTCATAATCGATATTTCACGTCGGGTACGATTCCTGCGTGCATAAATTTGCACGCGGTTCGCATGCAAATTAGCCCATTCTTCCCCTTAAATGCGCGGTTCGCAGATTTTCGCGGACAACAGACACCGAACGTACGGGCCGGTGCTACTCAAATAAATGGGGATGTCGCTCCACTAGAATTAAAATCTAAAAAATGCCATGGTTATTCATATCCTTGAAAATATCGTAGTCATTAAATACTTTGAAAAAAAAAGTCAGTAGTTTTGCGTGGAAAAGATTTTCAGGCTCATTCCTCGGAATTCGAGCGGTGAACTTGATACCTACTTGCCGAGGTACCACGAGTTCTCGTTCGTCGGTCTTGATTTCTTCCCTCAAGATGTGGGATTCGATATAGAATTTATTATATGAAAGCCTCGCGGAATGGAGATTGCAAATATTTGCGTAATTGAATTCGGGTACTTGGAATAAATTTGAATGCGAGGATTTTCCGAACATCGCGTTGTCATATCGATTCTGCGTGACTGGCTACGAGGAGGAAGGGAGGGGGAAAATATCGCGAAAGAGAGGTTTTCGACGCGGCAACGATCTTTCCAGTGGACATTGCACAGTGGTCAAAAATCAGCTGTAAAGTCGTTCGCATCGGCATATCGCTCGTGTCGCGACGCGCCACATATTTTTTCCTTCCTAACGATTTTTCACCATTTCCTATCTGCTTCCTCGTTGATCTCGTAATTTATGATGCTTCTCAGAACTTTGGAATTAATCCTATTGGTCGACGGCGCGACTCCAACAGCGCAACGCACATTGCATAACGGCGCTTCTTTTTCCATCAATCTCGCGAGTTTATTCGTTTACGAAATACACATCTGACTTATTTTTAACATTAAAAATAAGAGAAATATATTACGAGTATCGAATCCGATAAGTGACGGTGTAACATTCCACTTCCCAGAGGAAAAATTAACATTTACCACAAGTAATTATATATATATATATATGTACGTGTACAATTACGCGTAGATTAACGTCACATAGACGTAATATACCTCTCTTTTTCTTGTCCTTTACGTTCATTTATGAATTGACTTGTTTTATTAGCCTTGTTTTCCAATTAAACTGTTTACTCTCTGCATCAATTATTTGCTTCTACGAAATACATTCCAAATATTCCAAATTTATTTTAACAATCAATATCATTAATCAGTTGATTTATTCAATTTTTTTATATCTATTTGTTTCTATATTAAGATTATATCACACAGATGTTATATACTTTCTTTTTCTTGGCTTTATACGTTCATTTGTGATTGACTCACATTAGCCTCGTTTTCCGAGTAAACTGTTTACTCTCTTCGTCAATTTTTAAATTCTGTGAATATTTTTTTAAACCTATCAATTTATTTTAACAATATTAGCCAACCGTAGGATTCGCTCATCGTGTACTTATTCCATATGGAATACATCTCTTTTTTTCTTGTCTTTATACGTTTATTTGCAAATTGAATCGTATTATTATTGATTTCCGACAAATGTTTGCTCTCTCTTTCTCTATCGGATTTTTATTTCTACAAATATTTTTTGAATATTAACACATTTATTTTAACAATCGACATCGCCAATCCGCTCACCACATTTTTTTATATTTGTTTCCGTATTCGCTTATTTACATTCAGCTAATTTTTTTTTTAACTCTTTACATTCGCCTCCGCGTTTAATTACCGCGATTTCTATATTCATTCGTACTTTTATTTCGCGCTGTGTACCCGTATATTTTTAAATTCGATGCAGCGTTCGGTCGCGAAACCGGTTCGCTCGCAGGCAAAGAGGAATGCACGTCACCGCGGGATTTCGATCGGTTCGCGACGTCGCGATATTTTCTGATCCCGGTCAAAATTATCGCGCGGAAGCGTTATTATTGTCGTACGCGAATATTAATGTAACGCGCTATATGCACAAGCCCATCCTTAATATGCAAATGCATCCAGCGCTGAATTGGAGTAGCTATTTGGACTCCTCTGGTGAATTTTTTGCGTTCTAAGTGTTCCCACGGGTTAGAAAGCCCTTCCGGTAAATTTCTGGCATTTTTTTGCGAGAGATTTCGAATAATTGTTAAGAATTTTCGGAGGAAATTCTTGATAATTACGGATTAACTCGGATTAATCGTGATTAAAATAAAGGAATCATTGGTAATTCCCACATATAAGTTGTCAGCTTTGGATTTTTACTCTTTATTATCTTTATTATTATCTTTGTATCGGCGGAATCATTTTTCGAAACGTGCGAAAGGAATTTTAGAAATTCTTCGCAGTACATTATTCCATTATCAGAATTCTGGAAATAAAATGTCGATTCACCGAGGAATGTCATTCGGGCGACGATGTTCCTTTCGGAAAAATGCGGAAAATCGTAAATAATACGCGAGTTTAATACCCGATACATCGGATATCCGTACGAAATGTACGAGCGTGAAATTGCGCGTGGAGAAAGATGAAAACCCCGCGATTAATTCGATAAAATGAAACGCTCTGTGTGTGCACTGTGCGCGCGTGTACGGGTGTGTGATAAAACAATTCGATATAATAGAATTCCCATTCGATCGGATTACACAGAGATTCCGCGAGTCAGATTTCATTTACATCGGTCTTTTTCAATAGAGACACACACCGTGATTTTCGCAAATAGGTCAGATTACCGAACTCTTATATCACGGGCTTATGCAGTTTATGCAATTTAGAGCCCCGCCGGCCGGGGCCCTGGGCTCTCTCTCTCTCTCTCCCCTCGTGTGCTGTCCCAATTCGATTTAACTTTGGCCACGAACGAACGAAAAGGGGGAGCCGTTCCCGCCGGCAGCGGCGGCGGGAGCTTTAATGGGTGACGTTGCGCGTGATAATAAAGCGAAATATTTTCTCCTTTTCAGCGACGTGCGGCGGCAAGTGCTGCGGCGTGGAGATGGAGGCGCGTCTGAGGCAACAAGCCCGGGCGGACTTCCACGATCTGATCCATCATCACAGTAGAAGTCTACAAGGCCTCCTCGCCACCACCGCCGACGCTCTCAGAGGTAAGGATACTCCGAGCCTTTTAGAGCTGCATTCTAATGCGTTCGCTCGCTGCCCGACTGAATATTTCCCGAACGGATAAACGTACGCCTAATACTGTATAATCTGGTAATTACGCGCCCGGCTGCACTCGGAACTTACTTACACGGAAAGGAAAGTGATGGATTAACGGCATTTAGCCGACAGCGTTTAATCGAAAATGATCTTGTTCATTTATACCGGCATTAACGAAACAAACAACATTTTGTTAAATTTTTTATTAAGCATGGCGTATTTGTTTCATTAAGGATCGGTTATTCCATTTTCGGTTAAATTATGCGATAATTTATCTAATAGATAAGTGAATATTGAGTCAAGCATTGGCTGTACAGGCGTTTATCCATTAGATAAATTACCACATCGTTTATCGGATGGTGAAACAACTGATGTTGCTATTGAAGTAACAAAATTATTTTCAGTTAAATGCTGTTGGCTACAACGTTTTTATTTGTATGGAAATGCTCGATAAATTTTCATAAGAAGTTCAAAATTATTTTTACCAACGTTTATCAATAATCGTCGTTAAAAAGTCCAAGTTATTTGACTGATCAGATAATTAAATCCCTCTATTAAGGATCGAATTAATAAATAATTTAGTTAATTCGCGTGAAACCAGATTTTAATATTTTTCATACTTTAGATTTATATTGATAAAAAAAAAATAGCTTGAAGCAGTTCGAGTTTTTCAAATCGATCGATAATTCCTGGTCTTGATATTGCATTATAAAATATTAGTCGACAGCGGAAATCGTTAAAATCTAATTAACGTATAAATTTTCAACTCCGCGAAAGACTAAATAATTTAAAGGCTTCCAAGTAGAATAACGTGCCTCCAATCTTACGGTAAATAATTTGATAATAATACAAATAGAATAACTTATTTTTGGGTTCTATATAACGAGCAAATTTACGTTTTCAATTTGTTCCGCGGAAAGGGGTCACGAAGTTCGCACTCACTAAATTGCCGAGTTCCTTCGAGGAAGGTGTGCGGAAAGAGAACACCGTCAATAATGCCAATTGTGTGTATATCCTCCGAAAGTATATAAAACTCCGCTCTCCGTAAAACACCTTCGAGCATCGGCAGACCAGCGGTTTGTTCTTCGTTTCCGGTGTTTTGTCATTAGAATAACAGGATTTCCAGCGCGTTTCGCCCGCCCTTCAGCGCGTTTGATTTATGGAGATTCCCCGGTCGGGGTGTATCGGCAAAAGTTCGACAAAAGGGAGGAAGGGACGCTTCCCTCCCTGCAGCAAAGATGCCTCTATCGCTTTCATCGTAACCGTGATTCTTGCACGCCGAAAGCCCCGATAATTATCGTGGACGAGTTTCGACTCTTTTCTCTCTCTCTCTTTCTCTTTCTCTTTCTCTCTTCCTCTCTGCGGGACTCCCTCGAAGGGAAGAATCGGAGTCGCTCTCCGCGTGCCGCCTTATACGGGGACAAGAAAGCGAACCGCTATCCCTCTCCTCTCCGATCCCCGGCCGCCCGTCCTCCCTCTGTCGCTCAGCCGATCTATCTCCTTAATTCCCGGCATCGGCCCCGCGCGTAAGATCGGCCGCGCAAACATGTCACTCCTCATCTCTCGCAGCCGCGAGAAGAGGAATTTGCATACGAGAAATTAACGCGCGATGTCAATCGTGATTCATCTTCATCATTCTACATTACGCGCTTTATTGCTTTCAATTACTCGCGCGTATCGTTTTATTCCCGTTGCGAGACGACGAGAGACGTCGCGTTCGCTTTTGCATCAATCGAGACAACGGATGATTTCATCCTCTTCTCTTCGACTTTCTGAGAAACTTTTTTCCTTTCGGCCTCGCGCGCCTCGGGTCGACCTGTGCAGGTTTCAACATTCGAGCGATTTCGGCCGTATACCGGCTCCTTTAGTCATCGCGATTACGTGGTCAGTCCGGTATTTATACCGGCGCATATACGCTAACCGGTACCGCGCGCGCCGAGCAGAAACGGAAAACGAGGTAAGACAGAGGATGATATAGGCGGCCGGAGCCGGAGCGCGCGCGGAAACGCCAGGCGGAGGCGGCGCGGCGGCCGCGGCGTGGTTTGCGAGGCGCGTGTCGTTACCTCGGTAACGCGGCGCGGACGTCTAGAATTCAAGCGCAGCCTCCGCTCTCTGCTATTTTCGATACCGCGAAAAATGTGCTTCCTCTCTCTCTCTCTCTCTCTTTCTGTATTTTATTCTCTTTACACCACCAAGTGTTTGTATCCTCGCGGACGACGGGCGCGTCCGCGTCGATGTTTTTCGTTGCCTCGTGAAAACCGAACACTTTCCCTATCTACGAATCTTCGAGTTAAACTCAAGTTTATCGTCTCGTAATATGTTTATATGAGGCCTATACGCATTTTAACAAATTTATTGAACGAGATAATAAAGGACGGTCATTCATTGGTATTGCATTTATTGGCAATATTTTTATCTTTGTATTAAAAATTACAATGTGATTAAATACATTTATATACTGATACTAAAAATGTTTTATGAGATTTGTTTCTAAAGACATTTGAGAATCTCTTAATAATTTATCACTGGATTTATTTTGAAAATCTGGATCATGAATGAAATTATTTAAAATTAATGTATTTCTGTATTCCTTGATTTACTTATCGTTAGATTATATTTTCTTGCTTGAAAGGAACTTCCAAAAAGTCTTTAGACCTTTTGGTTTAGATCTTTAATCTTCAGACCTAAAATTTTTTGGTTATTACTAATTGAACTATCTAAAGATCTAAACTATTATTACTAATCCATATCAAAATTTTTAATATTTAATATTAGAATTATTTTTATTTTATGAAATATTCGTTACAGAATAAAATATTTTAAAATAGCCATAATATTTTATGTTTTTAATTTTTATATATACTACTGCTAACACTGCACACATCAGTAGTAGCTTGAAAAGAGAAAAGATTTTCGTATCTTTTACATTTCATAAACAGAAAATCGGGTTCTCTCAAAGGGAATTCTTCCGTTTACACGCTTGTCTGATTAGAATCGACGTAATTTTCTACTAAAAGGACACGCACGCGTGGTCATCGTCGGATTTATTCCTATCCGTTCGAGAGAATGTCGGTAATTGAAGGAAAACAAATCGGAGTAGTCACACGCGATGCCGCCTTTGAAGTTTGATTTAACGTGGGCATGATCCGCCTCGACAAATAATGTTTCACAGGAGAAAAGTGTAAAAGGCTTCCCGTTTTCCTACCGCGAAGAGAGACGAGAGAGAGAGAGAGAGAGAGAGAGAGAGAGAGAGAGAGAGAGAGAGAGAAGACGACTGCGGGATATCGCAACGCGTATTTTTATTTGTCGTTAATTTTAGTCGCTTCGCACAACCGCGAGACATATCCATTTAAAAATAAATTACGCTCCGCTCCGTTGCGATCCCGGTGGGAAACACGGTATACGACTTTCGTCCACGACGCATAATTCTGGAGCGCAATGTCGCAAATCAGATATCGGAACCGGTATATTCTCGATGAGTCCAATTTCAGTATCATGCATGATGTTTCTTGAACAGAGATCTATATTTCGAAGAGGAACGGCGACGTTCTGAATGACTCTCTCTCTCTCTCTCTCTCTCTCTCTCTCTCTCTCTCTCTTTCTCTCTCAGTTATGCGTCGAGATCGTGGATGGAATTTTCGAAACCTCAAATTGTTCATCTCACATATACCGTATATTATATAAGCCATAATATAAATATACATTTTCAATTAACATAATAAATTGATATAATGAACATAGTAAATTGATTTTTTTAATTAATATATAAACATATATTTTTATGTACGATTACGCATCACCGTAATTTAATTGCAATTTATCGTACATTACGAAACATAATGTAATTTTTGATATCATCTATTTCAGTGTTTTACACGCAATGCTTACACGTCCAATCAGCATCAAAAGTGCTTTAATCGTAATGATCGATGTTATCGAAAAATAAAGATACCTTTTTGTGTCCCTGGCCGGCCGCCACTTCTCGATAAGATCGTTAGAGCCGCAAGATGCCCGACGTCCCTAGGCCTCGCGCATAGATTCTTGCCGAGGCCACTTGAAACTAAAGCGGGAATCGAGGAGCACTTATCCGCCCGTCTTCTTCGTTTTACGCGTTCGCGCGATTAAGTGCGGCCGCGGCGCGTTCGTCCTTCGTCCGTCGTATATAAGCACGCGCTCTCTTCTCGCTCTCCACTCACGAAATCTCAAGTGGGTGGATTTGCATGAGGAATTATTCGATCGAGTTAGATTAGAAGAACAGTAGCGAGAGGATTGGGGAGGGAAGGGGGGAGGGGAAGATGAAGAATAAACCGCTGACATTTCATATACAAGCTCGAATCGAGGATGATTATCTTTATCCCCGGCAACTTTTTCTTTTGATATTTCAGTATAATCCTTTCCTCGGGTATTTTAAGTTTCTTAACTTTCTTAATACAAATAAAACGGACCCTCGCCAAAGATGACCTTTTAGAAAAGAAAATATTTTTAAGATCCACATAATGTTACGTTTCACAATGTTTTATATACGGAAAAACGGCACTCACTCGAAAGGAATTTCAAGAGTTAATCTCTCGTATTGTTGCCATTTAATCTTACAAGGAACGTACAAAGAGACATTTTGTAATTTTATCGTCTTAAGGTCCTAAAAAAAAAGAAATGGTTTTCTGCTCGCGGAGAATTGCTTTTTGACTCGTATTTTATCTAGAAACGATATATAAGCTCCCGCGACGAAGAGAAATCTCCTCGAGAGTTGAAAAAATTTCAGGAGAGCTTCCAATATTTCTGCGGTTTCCCGATTCTCGAGGATTACGCGAACGTCGATATTGAGTCGCGGGGAAATGGACGACCGGGGGGGCGGGGGGAGTTTTCGCGGTTAAATCGTGCTTGTTAAATTATTAAGGAGAGCCGCTTTCCGCCATCTGCGCAGAGACGGTGATCGTGTTGCTGCAGCGATCGGAGAACAAGACCCTGGTGATGTTCGATCAGGTGTACCGCTCGATGGCGGTGCAGAGCAAGCCGTCGATCCGGGCGCTCTACCAGGCGATGATGGACTACGTGTCGCCGGCCAACACCCCGGACAATCTGCAGCAGCCGCTGACGCGCGAGACGCTGCAGGAGCGCATCGGCGAGTTCTTCACGCGCCTCTTCCCGATCGCCTATCACTACGCCATCAATCCGCATCAGGACCGGCAGGACTTCACCGACAAGTTCAAGTCCTGCCTGTACGAGAGGATCGACGAGATACAGCCGTTCGGCGACACGCCGCAGGACATATTCAAGAAGATCGGCAAGAGCCTGGAGGCCACCAGGATCCTGGTGCAGGCGTTGACACTCGGTAAAACTGTCCTCGACAAGACTGACAACGTGTTATTTAGCGCCGGCGGCAGCAGCGGTAGCAGTCCGCAACAGGAGGCCTGCTACGACGCCCTACTTAGGATGCTCCATTGTCCCAGATGCAAGGGAATGGACGTACGTCCCTGCAACGGATTCTGCACGAATGTGGTGAGGTAAGTGTTGGGCGGGCCTTTTTCGTAAGAAAAAGTCCCAAGAATTCTTGGAATGCACGGGAGGTCCCATTGTTACAAAAAAGGTTGTTGAAACCTCAACGACGTGATAAATCCGCTTTTCCGGTAGGCACAACGATACGGGAAATGCCGATCGTTACGCGCGCGCTAAACTATGCACGATCGACTAATGACTTGTATAGTACCGCCCCCCTCCCTCCGACGGAATGATTAAGCGAGTCAATTGATAATTATTATGATTATCCGCGATTGTATCTCCGATCGGAAGATTGTTTCCAACGTGAGATTTGTATAATTGTCCGCGATCGTTATACAGGTAGATTATTACGGAGCGATTTATAATTATATTAGACTCGCGTAATAACCGATATGATAATCACGCCGCGGTGATTTGCGATCGCGCGGCGACCTTAATTTCGCGCGTTGAGCGAGAGACACCACGGGGGAGGTAGAGAGAGAGAGAAATAATGCAAATGTATTGCAGAGGCTGCCTGACGGAACCGGCGTCGGAATTGGATCTCGCGTGGTCCGGTTACGTGGAGACGGTCGAGAGGCTCGTCGCGGCGGTGAGCGGCAGCACCGATTTCCACGGCCTGAACGTCAGGATCGCCGTCAGGGAGTTGGACTCCCGCATCTCGGATGCCATCATGCACGCGATGGAGGACGGTCCGCGGCTCGAGGAGAAGGTGAGTGAGATCCGAGAGGATTTTTTTTTTATATCGCGCCGTTATAGAGCGATTTCACGTCGCGAAGCGAGTATCGCGTTAATTATGAGCGATACGAGAGTGCACGAATTCCGCGCGCGAATCGAGCGGAAATCGACGAGCGTGCAACGTATGCGTTTTTAACGAGGCTTTCGCGAAAAATGGGAATCGTTCTGGAAGTAATACATGGAATTTTTAAGACATCTGTGCATACACACACACACACACACACATACACACATAGAAAATTTGACGGCAAACTTTTGCTTGGTCGATCGAAAAAATTCACCCAAGTATATAATATATGGATACTTCCCAGCACCTGGCGTACACGCGAATATACGCACGCACGCACGCACGCACGCACGTAGTATGTAAGTAATACATTTATGGGAGCGTTACGTTAGATCGCTGTCGAGTCTGCCTTACATCAGTCGGTCCCCTCTTTTTTTTTCCGACGCTTTTCACATTCGTCTTCCACGCAGCGCGCTCGCGCCAGCTTATTCCCCGTATTGCCCTCCTCGAGACAATTCTTCGTTCGGCGAACACGCATAAGTTATGCACTCGCTCGCGCCCGTTCGCCTTGCCGCCCTCTCTTTCGCGTCCCGTCTCTCCCTCTCGTCCTTCCTCCACCGCCTATACCTTCCTTCCCTACCTACACCACGATTTCTCGTCCCTTCGTTCCGGTTCTCGACCCCGAGTCCCGACGAAATGGGCCGCTCTCCGCTCTCGCGCGCGGAACGCAATTAAAAGTTTCTCACACGGGGCGGCCACGCTGCGCCTTGCCGCGCCGCGCCGCGCCGCGCCACGCCGCGCCGCGACGACAGAATCGATCCCCCCGTGTTCGTTTCGTTTAGAAGCCAGATTCCTCGCTCGCTCGCTCGTCGTCTCTTGCGGTTCTTCCCTCCCCGCGCCATCGGGAAATCGATTCGCGGTCGCCGATCGTCCCCGATTACCTCTCTCTCGTCTCGTCTTAACTATAACTATAATGCAGTTCTGCGACCCCCTTGCCTCCTTTTAAATAAAGATGGCCCTGTTTCAAGTCTGCATCGAAAAACTAAGGCTTAAAGAGCACGACAAATTTTTCCTTCGATTTTCTTCGATTCGTCGTGGCCCCCGACCGAGAATGCCTTTCGCTTCGTCATCCCCCCTTCGGGGAATATACCGAGTATTCTCCTAATCACGCGAGTCTTATCCCGCATCGATTTCGAACTCGTCGAATCGCGAACAAAGGTTTGCACGGCCCCGAATGCGGGAGGGACGGGGGTGGAGGGAACGAAGGGGGGGGGGTCCAGGGGTCCCTCGTGGGACCCGGCGGCAGGTCCCCCGCTTCGTACCTGTTCGTGCCTGTGCGCGCGCGCCTCTCCTCGTGCGTGTATATACGGGCCGCCCGATGCCGCACGTATAGACCTGCTCCGACCCGTTGCATTCAGGGGATCTCTCTCACGAATCCACTAATAATTCCCGGCGGTCGGCGGCCCGGGCGCATTCTGCGAGCATTACGTGTCTGCATTCCACGTGTATAGGCCCTACGATCCCCCCCCTGCTTCCCTCCCGCCCCTGCCCCTCGCCCTCTTCTCGGGGATGGCGGTGTGGGGCCCAGGGGGATCGTTAAGGTAGCACCTTAACGGCCTTTTTACGAAAAGACGCCCGACAAGGTGTTCCCCCGCACCCCTGGATGTCCCTCATTATTATTCATCCCGCGCGGCGCCCCGCGCTGCCCCTGTATATACACGAAGGCGTTTAACTTATTCCTCCCGACCGACGGATACTCGACTTCTCCTCGGCGCCCCACCCTCCCTCCTCACCACACCGTCTTGGCTTCTCTATCAGGGGAGAAGCTCGACGAAAGTCACGTTATACCGCCCCGGATTAGCACGGGAATTCCAAGGCGCAAGAGAGTGGCCAAAGAGGGATTAACGAAAAATCCAGGAGAGACACGTTGTAATCTTCCTGCCGAATCCACGAGAGATTCTCCTCGTTACTCCTTCGCAAATCAGAACGGATAGAAACGGAGTTTCGGACGAAAAGCTCCAAGATAAAATTAAAATCCATCGATCAATATTATTGGATCTCTCTCGTCTGTCAGTGTCATTTGTAAATGACGTATAATGAAATAAATCCGCGATGTAAGAGAAAGTGACAGAAAGAGCATCGATTTTTTTATGCGGGAATAACAAATGTTGCCAAATTTGAGATACTGGGAATATCTGCTAAAATTAGAATCTATAGAGAAACTCTTCGTCGAATAATAAATTTGTCCTATTTAAATCTGAGTTATTGGAGCCATATTTTAAGGACAGATGTATTTCAAAATGGCATATGTCATTCCTTTTTTAAAAAGACCTTTTCTCCAGAGCAATACCGATCATTGATTAAGAATAAGTAATATGTGACACAAGACAATATTAGATTTTTGTGTAACTTTATACAATCTTAAAAATTTATATGATTTTATTTGAGCTACTGGACGTGCTGTTTTCTTTCTTGAAAATATAAGGATATTTTGAAGGAGCGACCTCCTTCTCGAACGACTCATTAAAATACATGCAAATTATTCTCAAGTATCTTGCTATTCGAGCGAGTTGTTTGAGAGAACGAAACATTCTTTCCAAATTCTCTGTTTGCCTAGAATGATGAACACGGGTGAATGTCCTTAGAATCGACGCCGTTCGTGGACCGAGTCCTCGCAAAAGAAACGCCCTTTATCCACGGTAGCGCCCGCGATCCTTCTTACAATGTCGCTTGGGCGCTTCCATAATTGGGCGAATGCGAAAAAGGAGACATTGCCGTTTCGCATACCTTCCTTTCCCTCCTCCTCCTCCTCCTTTCTCTCTCTCTCTCTCTCTCTCTCTCTCTCTCTCTCTCTCTCACTCACTCAGCGTTTGTTCAAACAGAATTAATCTCTCGTCATTATTCATCGCTGTATATTCTCTTTCTCACACCCACGTTTCGCAGAATGCAACATTTCGAAGCCTCGTGTTTCGGGTCGCTCGAATGCGACTGGTTTCCTTGGGAAGCACTTAATCCGAGAATCCTCGATACCTACGCGGATACGATACTTATCGTCGCGCCACATCTGCCTTCCTTTAAAATTTAAAGAACGAAAAATATGTCACGGGAAATAATTTCTTTGGGAAGCACTCAATCCGAGAATCGTCGATATCAATGGATACACCTATCGTCGCGGCATATCTACCTTCCTTTAAGATTTAAAGAACGAAAAATATGTCACGGGAGATAAATAAGGAGGATGTGTCTCGAATAAATAAAATTCCATGATTCGCGTGTTACAATTTTATAATGATTTCTTTTGCAGTTTCATGACATGCAACACGTGTTTATAATATTTCGGTATCGAGGGTACTTGACGAGACGACAGATGCCTTATCCCACCCATTGTAAATCGCTTGAATTTCGATTTGGCTCGCGTATGGTCGCCCAGGCTTGACCTAGATTCACGATGGACGGATTACCGTGTAATTTGGGCAAACGTATTTACATGTTATCGAGTTCAATCGCTTAATCGGGTCTTGGAGTGTGCGTTAGGTCGGTCCGAATGTGGATATATGTCCCGATGCTACATGTCATATTGGATAATTTCGTCCCGATGAAATTCGATATTGGGATAAATGTCAGCTCGACGTATAACGGCTTCCCGACATTAATTTTATACGTTTTAATTTTATTTAGATTGCATCCTGCCCTCCTATTCCATTCTCTCTGTTCTTCTGCACGTCTGTACGATATATATAATGATGATGAATTGATACGATGCAATTTGTAGCGGTAAAACGATACAGCGATACATAACTATTGGATTACCGAATGGCAATTTTTTTGGCAAGGAAACAATCATAAATATTAGCTAAAATAATATTAGCTGCCATTTGATCCATCGTATGACGTTAGGTAATAAAAAACTGTCAACCATAAATAAGTAAAGATTATATTTTATATTATTACAAATATTTTATTATATTAATACAACGTGGCAAAAAAAAAAAAATAAATCATTCTTTCCCATAAAATCCATTCCGCCGCGATAACGATTATCCGTGACGCGCGTCTCGACGAATTATTCGACGAACCGCTGAGAACTTTATTCTACCGAAAGATATATTATCGCGTCGGGCGAAATTCACGTTGATCCCCGTGATACGTTTCGTGCCCATACGTGTCGGTAATCCGACGTTGAGGACAGGTTCTTGGCGATCTCTCCAGACGTTACGTCGCGGTGATTCGATATCGATGACACGCGTATCCATACGTACGTGTAACTTGGGCGATAAACGTCCGTATTGGTGCAGAAATCGGTGTGAGAGAGAGAGAGAGAGAGAGAATTCCCTCGATTCTCACTCGCGTGTCTCTTTTCTCGCTTTGATTCCCTCTTTCTCCTCTCTCTCCTCTCTCTCTCTCTCTCTCTCTCTCTTTTCTCCTCTCTCCCTGGAGACAGATATACAACGTACCGAGCCACAGTTTCTCTGGCTTCGACCCAGCCTCCTACGCCGGTCGATATAATCATCCCGGCGACGAGGAACAACGCGTGCACACCGCAGAACCGCGGAGGAGGACAGAAGTGGCGGCGAGAGGGGGGGATGAGGACGGTGGGTATGACGAAGAAGAGGAGAAGATGAAGGAGAGATGAAGGAAGTGCAAGAGAGGCATTGGCACGGTGCCGGGGCGAGGAATCAATGACCCATTCCCCCATTGGTATTTTCGGTACCTACTTCGGATAATTGCGTGCTCCACCGGCCCGCGAATATACGCACGGCGAAACGTGTGACTTCCTCCCCTTTGATCCCCGCGTTCGTCTCGCCCCTCCCCTCCCCCCCATTCGTCCCTCTCGCGTACCCCGCTATACGCTCGCCTCCGCGCGTCGAGTTTGGCGAAACTAGAGCCAACTCTGCAGAAGCCGCCTCTCGTGCCTGCGAGAGAGATTCAGCGAAACTGGTCGAGTTCCGTCGGCGAGATCCCAGAGA